CATTTAATAGAGCTTATACTAGCTCTAGTATAGTAGGCATGCAGCGGTATGATCCCTGCCTCTGGGATATATGGTGAGCATTCTTTGAAATAATTCTTTAAGATGGTAACAGGAGCTCGGGGAGAAGATAATAAAACAGCAATAATGCTGGTATATAAAATATAATAAAATATACTCACAATGTATAGGGCAGGCTAACTGCTCTATGGTATAGGCACAGGTGGTATAATCCCCACCTCAGGATTCTTTGGAGTATAGGAGATAATAGGTAAAAAGCCAGGTAGTTATAATAAAAAATAAAATAAAAAAATAAATAAAAGATAATGGTGCAAAAGAATAAAATGACCAAAATCTATTTATTAACAGTAATTAAAAAAACAGTACAATATCCAAACGCGTTTCACCAATATAGGCTTTATCAATGGATTAAAAACATGTCAACCTGGCTAGTTGGGGTATATATAGGCTTGGGACAACTTTCAAAATTGCGCCAAAACTGCTCTGACCAATCACAGAGCAGATTGTGATTACTCACAAATAACAGCTATAAACCTTTGTAAATACATAGATATAACTAATAGGATATGGAATATATAATTATAGTGTAAAAACGAGGAGATTATAGAAAGAATTTTCTTACTATTAACTGAATCATGTGACGCGCGTCATAAGCGCGATGTCACTTCCGGTCGCTCGGTATGCTGGGGCATGTAGTTGTATCATAAACTACATGCCCAAGCTTACTTCCGGGAGAATTGTGGAGCCATATGATAGGCTCAAAAGAGGGGAGTGGCCGAGGACCGGAGGGGAGAGGTGGGGAGAGGAAGGGGGAATGGCCGGAAAACGGCTAGGTAAAAAAGGAAATGGGCGCAGCGGCCATCTTGGTAGGGGAATAGACTCCATAAAGCTATGTAAAAAAACATAGCGACGGCCATATTGGAGGTGGCAAAAAACATATTAGTGGTAAATAAGCATTTTTGCATAAAAAGAAAGGGTTAAAAAAAAGGGAACAATTATAGGAACACATAAATAGAAAAGGACATGTTACTTGTAACTTATAATGGAATGTGGCATAATAATAAACAGCAATAAATATAAAAGAATTAAAATTGGTATATAGAGTAGATAAGGATAAGAAAGAGTTAAGAACAAAATATGAAAATATAAAAAATTGGTAAAAATACAATATTATATAAAATTAAATAAATCAAAGTCAGCATTTAAACCATTTGGGGTTAAGGTTTTTAAATTAAAAACCCATTCCATTTCACATTTTCCCCAAATATTTTTTATATTGCCTCCTCTCCATGGAATAGTGCATTTTTTTATACCATTACATTTTAAATGGCCTGGATCGTTGTTATGGATAGAAAAGTGTTTGGATACGGTGTGGTTTTGGTATCCATTGGTAATGTTACGACAGTGTTCGTCTAATCTCGTTTTTAGGCTCCTTGTGGTCATGCCTACGTATTGCAAACCACATGGGCATTCCAGGAGATTAATTACATTCTTAGATACACAAGTGATAAAATCTTTAATATTTTATGTTTTGTTGGTTTTATTTGATTTTAATTGTGTGGTTTGTATTTGGTGGACTGGTTGGTGCATTTACAAACCTTACAGCGTTTGCACTTAAAGAACCCTTTGGTATTGGGTAAGTGGCGGGATTGGGGTCTTGCAACATCCTCCCTAGTAAAGTTGGAAGTTAGGATTGATTTGAAGCTGGGAGCTCCCCTAAATACAATATTAGGTCTTTCTGGTATGATTTATTTTAAAATATCTTCTTGCTTGAGCAAATGCCAATGTTTCTTTATTATGTTTTTAAGATGATTACTTTTATTGTTAAAATTAAATATGATGGGGAGACTGGGGTGGTTGTTGGAATTTTTTTCTTTATAGTTTAAAAGTTCTGTTCTTTCTTTAGATCTAATAACATCTATAGTATTGTTAAGGTTATCCAACGGGTAATTTTTTTCCGTGAATTTATCTCTCAAAAACTCTGCTTGCTGATTACAATCTTCTATCTGAGAGCAGTTTCTCCTTAATCTTAAAAATTGACTTTTTGGTGCACTTTCCAGCCAAGGCTTATAGTGGCAACTCGACCGGTCAATGGCTGTATTTGTGCAAACCTTTTTAAAAAACTTTTTGGTGTTTAAAATACCATCTTTGATGAAAATTTCTAAGTCTAAAAAATTAATAATAGTTTTGCTATATTCACAGGTTAAAATAATTCCTCTGTCATTAGTGTTGAGATGGTCAATAAATGAATTGAGTTGGTCCTCAGAGCCGTCCCATATAAAAAAAAAGATCATCGATATATCTAAAATAGGCAACCAGGTTTGCCTGCCAGGCATGCTCACCCCAAATGGCAGTGGTTTCCCAATCTGCCATAAAGAGGTTAGCATAACTGGGTGCAAACCTGGTCCCCATAGCTGTGCCTCTTTTTTGTAGATAAAAACTGTTAAAAAAACAAAAATAGTTGTTTTTTAAAATTATATTGATGCCCTCCATAATAAAATCAATTTGGATATCAGAAATTCTGTTTTCATGTTTGAGGATATTTTTCACTGCTCTGCAGCCTATGTCATGTGGAATAATCGTATATAAAGACTGGGCATCGCAGGTAACTAAAATAAAATTGGGTTGCCAAATAAAATTATTTAAGAATTTTAAAAGGGACATGAAATCTTTTAAATAAGACCTCATGAGTTTGACAGAGGATTGGAGAAGAATATCTATATATTGTGACAGGTTGCTCAACAATGAGCCAATACCTGATACGATGTGCTTGCCTGGTGGTTGAGTTACGTTTTTATGAATCTTAGGCAAAAAATATATTACCGGGATTTTTGGGTGTTGGATATTTAAAAAATTAATTTCATGTTTGTTTAAAATGTTAAGATCTGCACCTTTTTTTAAAAAAGTGGTGTTGGGTCTGATGTTTTTTTGGGATAAGTTAAAAATACCATAGTCTTTCTCGTTAATAGGATCTATATTCTCTCTAGTCTCTCTTTTAAACTATAAAGAAAAAAATTCCAACAACCACCCCAGTCTCCCCATCATATTTAATTTTAACAATAAAAGTAATCATCTTAAAAAAATAATAAAGAAACATTGGCATTTGCTTAAACAAGAAGATATTTTAAAAGAAATCATACGAGAAAGACCTAATATTGTATTTAGGGGAGCTCCCAGCTTCAAATCAATCCTAACTTCCAACTTTACTAGGGAGGATGTTGCAAAACCCCAATCCCGCCTCCTACCCAATACCAAAGGGTTCTTTAAGTGCAAACGCTGTAAGGTTTGTAATGCACCAACCAGTCCACCAAATACAAACCACACAATTCAAATCAAATAAAACCAACAAAACATAAAATATTAAAGCTTTTATCACTTGTGCATCTAAGAATGTAATTTATCTCCTGGAATGCCCATGTGGTTTGCAATACGTAGGCATGACCACAAGGAGCCTAAAAACGAGATTAGGCGAACACTGTCGTAACATTACCAATGGATACCAAAACCACACCGTATCCAAACACTTTTCTATCCATAACAACGATCCAGGCCATTTAAAATGTAATGGTATAAAAAAATGCACTATTCCATGGAGAGGAGGCAATATAAAAAATATTTTGGGAAAATGTGAAATGGAATGGGTTTTTAATTTAAAAACCTTAACCCCAAATGATTTAAATGCTGACTTTGATTTATTTAATTTTATATAATATTGTATTTTTACCAATTGTTTATATTTTTATATTTTGTTCTTAACTCTTTCTTATCCTTATCTACTCTATATACCAATTTTAATTCTTTTATACTTATTGCTGTTTATTATTATGCCACATTCCATTATGTTACAAGTAACATGTCCTTTTCTATTTATGTGTTCCTATAATTGTTCCCTTTTTTTAACCCTTTCTTTTTATGCAAAAATGCTTATTTACCACTAATATGTTTTTTGCCACCTCCAATATGGCCACCGCTATGTTTTTTACATAGCTTTATGGAGTCTATTCCCCTACCAAGATGGCCGCCGCGCCCATTTCCTTTTTTACCTAGCCATTTTCCGGCCATTCCCCCTTCCTCTCCCCTCCGGTCCTCGGCCACTCCCCTCTTTTGAGCCTATCATATGGCTCCACAATTCTCCCAGAAGCAAGCTTGGGCATGTAGTTTATGATACAACTACATGCCCCAGCATACCGAGCGACCGGAAGTGACGTCGCGCTTATGAGGCGCGTCAAATGACTCAGTTAATAGTAAGAAAATTCTTTCTATAATCTCCTAGTTTTTACACTATAATTATATATTCCATATCCTATTAGTTATACCTATGTATTTACAAAGGTTTATAGCTGTTATTTGTGAGTAATCACAATCTGCTCTGTGATTGGTCAGAGCAGTTTTGGCGCAATTTTCAAAATTGTCCCAAGCTTTTATATACCCCAACTAGCCAGGATGACATGTTTTTAATCCATTGATAAAGCCTATATTGGTGAAACGCGTTTTGGATATTGTACTGTTTTTTAATTACTGTTAATAAATAGATTTTGGTCATTTTATTCTTTTGCACCATTATCTTTTATTTATTTTTTAATTTTATTTTTTATTATAACTACCTGGCTTTTTACCTATTATCTCCTATACTCCAAAGAATCCTGAGGTGGGGATTATACCACCCGTGCCTATACCATAGAGCAGTTAGCCTGCCCTATACATTGTGAGTATATTTTATTATATTTTATATACCAGCATTATTTTACTGAGAGCACTATTGCTGTTTTATTATCTTCTCCCCGAGCTCCCTTTACCATCTTAAAGAATTATTTCAAAGAACGCTAACCATATATCCCAGAGGCGGGGATCATACTGCTGTATGTCTACTATACTAGAGCTAGTATAAGCTCTATTAAATGTGAGTGTATCTACTTTATTTTAATACTTTTTATCTACTTTTGGAACATACTGCACCATGACTGTTTTTCGTTTTATCTTCCCCCTGGTTGTCTGTCACTACACCGAAGAGGAGACTCACCGCATATCCTATAAGCGGGGATGATACCGCTGCAAGCTATTCATACCAGAGCTGGATTAAGCTCTACAAAAAGTGAGTATTATCTCTTCTTTTTTATTTGGATACCTTTTGGATCACTCTTTACCACCATCATTTCCATCATCCATCGCCCTCCTCCATATACCAGTAAGGAGCAAAATTCTACAACTTCAGAGACCAACATAAGACCAAAGTTTCATTATACTGGACTCTATTTTAATATTTCTATCTCAACCAGGACTTTTTTATTTTACTTATTTTGTTTACTGGCGCAGTCCCATCCTTCTCTTTGTTTGCTTTCCGTATTTATCTCAAGGACACTTGAGGGAGTCCTTGTTTGGGATTGCTGCCTTTTGTATCTCTTTCTGATATATTAGCGCTGACTCTACTCTCTGTTTTTTGTTATCTTTGTCTCCCTCTCGAGTTAGCAGCTTCTTTATCTAGTATGTCTATATTTGACTTCAGAAACAACTATACAATTGACATCAACAGTGCATTTAATACAGATACTATTAGCCCTGTTTTTCTAAGACAAATCAAGTTTAGCCAATAAGAACTATTTACAAAGTTGGAAAAAGTCCTAAGCACAGAGATTAAATTAAAATGGGAAATTGCTACCCTAAAAAAATACATTGACGGACGTATTACACCTAGAGGTCTCAGATTATTTAAATCTCCAACCTCAGATCAGGACGATATCGAGTTTATGGAGGAATGGAACAATGAGCTTGAAATATGTACTTTTGGTTTAATGGAAACACTTATAGTGAAGAAGAGTAAAAAACTATCACTATTAGACTCACAAATCAATGATCTTAAAGAAAAACTGTTACCATTCCTTGAATCAAAAGTATATAAGCAAAATTCTATACTCATCCAAAGTAAAATTGAAAAAACTGAGACTGACACCAAACATATAAAAGCAAAAAAGTATATTCGAGACAAATCAGATTACGCTAACAATCAAGTTAGAACATATCATCTAAATAAAAGATATACCTCTGAAGCACCATCACCAAGTAAACAATATGCACCTAAAGAATACCCCAATCACCGTAGACAAATACCCAAACAAGAAACTCAATTTTTTTGTAATCATCCTATGAGCAAAATTAGGAAACCCTTGTATCACTCACCACCAAGAACAAGTTATAACAAACCCTATACACATCACCACATCACCACCACATTCCCCCACTTAGACAACACCGTCCTGCCAATAATTCACACTATCAATTCCAACCCCAACAAAAATACCGCACTACCTCACGTAGAGAACTTTCTACATATGTACAATCATCTGATTACCCAGTACCCAGTCCTATAATCAAACCAACATCACCCAAACCCCAAAGAACAAGGTTCACCAACCAAAGGAGAAATAATTATCTCAATTACCTCAAATCCCCCATCATATACCAACATCCAAATAGGTACCAACTATTATCACTGGACTCTGAAATTGAAACAGATTAACATTTTTTAGACATTCAGACCCACCCCAACACATGCACCCTAACATCCTATCCCCCCAAGAGCAAAAAAGAGAAATTTAAGTTTAGAGGAAAGCGAAGTGGAAGACGAACACAAAAGAGAGAGACTAGAGAGAGTATAGATCCTATTAACGAGAAAGACTATGGTATTTTTAACTTATCCCAAAAAGTTTTAACCTCCGCACATATCTCTGTCTTAACCAAAGGTCTTAAATTCTCCCCCACACAACCTTTTAAACCTTTCGAAGTTTTCTAGACGTTAACAAGTTTGTCCGAAAAGCTACCCTCAAGAGATTTTTTAGTCATCCCAACCCACCTACTAACTCACCTACCCTTCCCTCTTCCCCCCCTACTTCATCTACAGAGGCCACCATCATCAACACTAACCTAAAGGAACAATCCAAGTTCTATCCCTCTTATTGCAAATCTGCTCCCCTTGTCATGTTCGAGAAACTTGTATTACAAGATCTCGAAAAAATTAAACATACCAAATTTGACACCCAAAATTTAACCCATTCTGAAAGAATAGCAATAAAACAATTACAAGAGGACAAGACAATAGTGGTCAAACCAGCAGATAAAGGGGGAGGTCTGGTTATACTTTCCAGTACTATGTACATTGAAGAGGCTAATAGACAACTGAACGATACCCAGGTATACGAAAAATTAACATCAGACCCAACACCACTTTTTAAAAAAAAGGTGCAGATCTTAACATTTTAAACAAACATGAAATTAATTTTTTAAATATCCAACACCCAAAAATCCCGGTAATATATTTTTTGCCTAAGATTCATAAAAACTTAACTCACCCACCAGGCAGGCCCATCGTATCAGGTATTGGCTCATTGTTGAGCAACCTGTCGCAATATATAGATATTCTTCTCCAACCCTCTGTCAAACTCATGAGGTCTTATTTAAAAGATTCCATGTCCCTTTTAAAATTCTTAAATAATTTTATTTGGCAACCCAATTTTATTTTAGTTACCTGCGATGTCCAGTCTTTATATATGATTATTCCACATGACATAGGCTGCAGAGCAGTGAAAAATATCCTCAAACATGAAAACAGATTTTCTGATATCCAAATTGATTTTATTATGGAGGGCATCAATATAATTTTAAAAAACAACTATTTTTGTTTTTTTAACAGTTTTTATCTACAAAAAAGAGGCACAGCTATGGGGACCAGGTTTGCACCCAGTTATGCTAACCTCTTTATGGCAGATTGGGAAACCACTACCATTTGGGGCGAGCATGCCTGGCAGGCAAACCTGGTTGCCTATTTTAGATATATCGATGATCTTTTTTTTTATATGGGACGGCTCTGAGGACCTACTCAATTCATTTATTGACCATCTCAACACTAATGACAGAGGAATTATTTTAACCTGTGAATATAGCAAAACTATTTTTAATTTTTTAGACTTAGAAATTTTCATCAAAGATGGTATTTTAAACACCGAAATGTTTTTTAAAAAGGTTTGCACAAATACAGCCATTGACCGGTCGAGTTGCCACTATAAGCCTTGGCTGGAAAGTGCACCAAAAAGTAAATTTTTAAGATTAAGGAGAAACTGCTCTCAGATAGAAGATTTTAATCAGCAAGCAGAGTTTTTGAGAGATAAATTCACGGAAAATTACCCGTTGGATAACCTTAACAATACTATAGATGTTATTAGATCTTAAGAAAGAACAGAACTTTTAAACTATAAAGAAAAAAATTCCAACAACCACCCCAGTCTCCCCATCATATTTAATTTTAACAATAAAAGTAATCATCTTAAAAACATAATAAAGAAACATTGGCATTTGCTCAAGCAAGAAGATATTTTAAAATAAATCATACCAGAAAGACCTAATATTGTATTTAGGGGAGCTCCCAGCTTCAAATCAATCCTAACTTCCAACTTTACTAGGGAGGATGTTGCAAAACCCCAATCCCGCCTCCTACCCAATACCTAAGGGTTCTTTAAGTGCAAACGCTGTAAGGTTTGTAATGCACCAACCAGTCCACCAAATACAAACCACACAATTCAAATCAAATAAAACCAACAAAACATAAAATATTAAAGCTTTTATCACTTGTGTATCTAAGAATGTAATTTATCTCCTGGAATGCCCATGTGGTTTGCAATACGTAGGCATGACCACAAGGAGCCTAAAAACGAGATTAGGCGAACACTGTCGTAACATTACCAATGGATACCAAAACCACACCGTATCCAAACACTTTTCTATTCATAACAACGATCCAGGCCATTTAAAATGTAATGGTATAAAAAAAATGCACTATTCCATGGAGAGGAGGCAATATAAAAAATATTTGGGGAAAATGTAAAAAATTGAATGGGTTTTTAATTTAAAAACCTTAACCCCAAATGGTTTAAATGCTGACTTTGATTTATTTAATTTTATATAATATTGTATTTTTACCAATTTTTTATATTTTTATATTTTGTTCTTAACTCTTTCTTATCCTTATCTACTCTATATACCAATTTTAATTCTTTTATACTTATTGCTGTTTATTATTATGCCACATTCCATTATAAGTTACAAGTAACATGTCCTTTTCTATTTATGTGTTCCTATAATTGTTCCCTTTTTTTTACCCTTTCTTTTTATGCAAAAATGCTTATTTACCACTAATATGTTTTTTGCCTCCTCCAATATGGAGGTGCAAGCTATTCATACCAGAGCTGGATTAAGCTCTACAAAAAGTGAGTATTATCTCTTCTTTTTTATTTGGATACCTTTTGGATCACTCTTTTCTACCATCATTTCCATCATCCATCGCCCTCCTCCATATACCAGTAAGGAGCAAAATTCTACAACAGAGACCAACATAAGACAAAAGTTTCATTATACTGGACTCTATTTTAATATTTCTACCTCAACCAGGACTTTTTTATTTGACTTATTTTGTTTACTGGCGCAGTCCCATCCTTCTGTTTGTTTGCTAAGGGGGATAATGTCTTTAATTTATAAATCCAAAAACTTTCTCGTTGTAGGAGTTTTTTATCTAGATCTCCCTTTCTTTGGCCCATTTTGATTTTTTCAATGCCATTGAACCGTAACCCCTGTGCCGAGCCACCATGTTGAGTTTTCAGATGTAGCGAAATTGGTGTATCTGTCTGTCTAGATGGATTAACAGAGTTTACATGTTCTAAAATGCGGTTTTTAAATGGTCTAAAAGTCTTGCCCACATATTTCAAATTACAGCTACAGGTAATGAGGTATACCAGTCCTTCTTGCTATACCATAGTGGACTATTTTTATGACTTTACCACATTGAGTGGCTTTTTATCAGAGACTCTTTTTTTTTTGTATTCTGAAGTTTTACCTGTATTTTATGTGAAATTTCTTTCATTAAAAGAAGAATTGTCTTCTCACCTACCTCAATGGTTATGGTTTTCCTTTACAAAACCATCGAGGAATCCAGATACAGCTGCTGCACTTAAAGGTAGTGGGAACCCTTATAATCATCCCACAGGCATTTGAATTGAGCCATTTACCTTTGGCTCTACGTTTGTGAGTACTGAATCACATATTCTACATTAAGCTATTTATGTACTTTATGGTACTGCACTAGATGTTGTCAATTTTTCTGTCTTTACAGTTCTATTTCTATATTTATTTTGCATCCACGAACCAAGACACTCCACCTACTCTGTATGTATTTATATACCAGTCCTTCTGTCTGACAATTAAAGAAAGTTTTAGTTGTGTAGGTTTCTGAATTTACTGAGTTTGAAAACGTTTTTGATTGTTTCCTGGTATATTTACACGCTTTACAGCGACCACACTGATAAGTACCCACTGCAGGGGATTTTAACCATGTATTGGTAACATTTTGTGTGGAAAGATGGCTGGGTACCAGGATATCTTTGAGATTTCGACCCCTTCTTGCTGTAAGAGAAACAAAGGTAGTCAAGACCTCTTTAAGATGTGAATCCTGGTAAAGTAGTGGCCAAAACCTTTCCATTGTTTTTTTAACCCTGTTCCACCCCAAATCAAAGGTCCCAATACATCTAATGATATTTTGATTTTTACTCTGAGAGAGACTGTCAGTTAACAGATCAGTTCTCTCTGTAAGGAGTGCCCTTTGATGTGCTTTTTTAAGACATTTATTTGGGTACCCTTTAGATTTAAAATGGGACCTGAGGGTTTGGGCTTTTATCTTAAAGTCCTCATGAGAGAAGCAATTCCTTCTTAATCTGAGGTATTGGCCTGTTGGTATCCCTCTCTTCAATGCGGGGGGATGATAGCTCTCCCAGTTAAGAAAATTATTAGTTGCTGTAGGTTTCTTATAGAGTGTGGTAGATATATAGTTGTTATGTGTGGTCTCTAGGGTAATATCAAGAAAATTAAGTTTATGTCCACCAACCTCATGGGTAAATCTAAGGTTGATGACATTGACATTTAGTTCCTCCACAAAACTATTGAACAGGTCCTCAGGGCCTGTCCAAACTATCAAGACATCGTCGATATAGCATTTCCAGAGGTTGACATATTCTGTATATTTGGTAAGTTGTGGACTGAAGACCACATTTTTTTCCCACCAACCTAAGTGAAGATTGGCATAAGAGGGGGCACACGTTGTCCCCATGGCAGTGCCCTTCACTTGGTGGTAGTACTTGCCTCTAAACAGGAAATAATTGTGTGTAAGAATGAAGTGTAGAAGCTTTAGAACAAAATCACTATGTTCCTTTAGTGTTGAATCCCTCATATAGAGGAAGCTTTTCACATGTCTGATGCCAACTTCATGAGGGATTGAACTATACAGACGCTCCACATCTAGGCTGCAGAGCCTAGCATTAGTTTGTATAGTCGTATCATTAAGTATGTTGAGAGTCTGCTTAGTTTCCCTCAGGTAGGAAGGGAGAGTCTTGACAAGATCCCGAAGGATAAATTCCACGTATGCCCTACAGTTCTGCGTAAGATTATTATTGCCTGATACAATTGGTCTTCCCGATAAAATATGTACTCTTATCATTCAATATTCTCTGTACCATTTGAATGTAGTCATTCTTATTCATGATCACAATATTTCCCCCTTTATCTGAGGGTTTAATTATAATAAAGTCATTTTGTTTCAGAGTGTCTAATGCTTTTCTCTCAGGTTGATTCAGATTATCATATTGGCTAAGGGGGCATGCGTCTCTACCCATGCCTTCAATTTCTTTGCAGGTGAGTTCTATGAAGAGATCAATGTATTTGAATTCATGGATGTACGGAGTGAATTTACTTTTTAATTTCAGGGTGGTGAATGGTGCTTTTACTCTATTAGGAGGATCATTACTGTTGAGAAGATCAATCAGGTTATCAAGGAGATGCATGTCCTGAGTCTCTAGGCCTAACCTAGAGGCCCGCTTTGTTTTTTGTATACAATGAAATTTGTGAAATGCCAATTTGCGTGCGAAGAGATGGATGTCCTTTGTCCAACCAAACTTTGGGTGTAGGGACAAAATTGGGTGTAGGGGCAAAGGACAACCCTCTTCTAAGCACTTGGTTTTCCAATGGCTTAAGTTGATAGGAAAACAGATTTATAATCTGACTTTCCTGTATTAATAGGCTTTTTTCCGCTTGTAACCTCGTGTTGTGGATTTGCTCCTTGTATTTCGCTGGACTCTCTCTTATGTTTGCTCTTTCTAAAAAATTAAACCCTTTCTTAAGGATGCTCTTTGGGTTGGAATCGGTAGATGTTGATGGACCTTCTGAGCTCAATCCTGGCTCAGAACCACTGGTATCATATTCGGAAGTAGAAAATTGATCAAAATCTACTTTTTTATTTCTTTTGAATTTTCGATATATGTTACCAGTCTGAAAATCTTTCGTATCCCTCATAAATTTGGAGTGTTTTGGTGTTTTGATTGAGGTCTGGAATCTATCTAGTTGGTTTTTCAATTTAATTTCTAATTGTTCAAAATTGGATTAATTTTTATATATTTGAATTTTTACGATCTCCTCATCTACCTCTTTATTGACTTTTTCTAGCTTTTGATTCTCATATCTACATAGAATGTCCATGAATTTCCATGAACATGCTCCTGGCGCTTCTTCCCATTCTTTAATGAATTCAGATTCCTCAATATGGGGTGTACTCTTAGCCCTCTTGTGATAAGCTCTTTACTTAGATATTTTTCAAGTGAGGCTATTTCCCATCCCGCTCTTATTTGCTGTTTAAAAAGGAAAGTCAAATGATTAAAGGCTGAATTTATATTTGTATGAGTAATGTTTTCCTGCAAGTGTCCTTCAGAAAATACCAAATCAATATCTGAATACCATGCATCTCTTGATGTCTTGTCTGACAGAAAACCGGCCATTACAGAGCAACGCTGAATAAGGTGTACAGGTACTTAAACCTGTGCTATCCTCTACTGGTTTAGTCTGGTTTTAGAGTGCTATCCTCTACTGGTTTAGTGGATTACATAGAAACATAGAATGTGACGGCAGATAAGAACCATTCGGCCCATCTAGTCTGCCCAATTTTCTAAATACTTTCATTAGTCCCTAGCCTTATCTTATAGTTAGGATAGCCTTATGCCTATCCCACGCATGCTTAAACTCCTTTACTGTGTTAACCTCTACCACTTCAGCTGGAAGGCTATTCCATGCATCCACTACCCTCTCAGTAAAGTAATACTTCCTGATATTATTTTTAAACCTTTGTCCCTCTAATTTAAGACTATGTCCTCTTGTTGTGGTAGTTTTTCTTCTTTTAAATATAGTCTCCTCCTTTACTGTGTTGATTCCCTTTATATATTTAAATGTTTCTATCATATCCCCCCTGTCTCGTCTTTCCTCCAAGCTATACATGTTAAGATCCTTTAACCTTTCCTGGTAAGTTTTATCCCTCAATCCATGAACCAGTTTAGTAGCCCTTCTCTGAACCCTCTCTAAGGTATCAATATCCTTCTGAAGATACGGTCTCCAGTACTGTGTACAATACTCCAAGTGAGGTCTCACAAGTGTTCTGTACAATGGCATGAGCACTTCCCTCTTTCTACTGCTAATACCTCTCCCTATACAACCAAGCATTCTGCTGGCGTTTCCTGCTGCTCTATTACATTGTCTGCCTACCTTTAAGTCATCAGAAATAATCACCCCTAAATCCCTTTCCTCATATGTTGAGGTTAGGACTCTATCAAATATTCTGATTAGTCTGGTTTTAGACAGCCACTACCTGTAGACGTTGTTTCTTTTGTATTTTATGTTAAATAACTCACATCACGCTTATTAAATAATAATGTAATGCAACATATATTATTAAAGCAATACTCCAGGCTGGAATAGACCTATTATTTTGCATGCATTGTGTAGACAATACCTTAAAAATATACAAAGCAAGTTATCCAAATTAAAAATTGATAAGACTATGTTTCAATGTTACACCACCCCTGTTAAATTATGTAGAATGCATAAGATCCCCACAGATTTGTGTTGGGGAGGGTGCGAACAGAGGGGGACTTATCTCCCATGTGGTGGGAATGTCCAGACGTGCAGGGGTATTGGATAAGGATTAAAGATTTGCTGAGGGATGTTCTAGGTAAAGAAGTTCCGTTAGACCCTTGGGTGTTTTTGTTAGCTAGACCCTTGGATGACTGGCCGAAAACGGATCAAAAACTATTAAACAAATTAAATTTGGCAGCCAGGAGGGCGTTAGCACAAGTTTGGCTTCAGAGGGAGACTCTTTCAGTGGAAGCAGTAGTCAAAAAAAATCAAGGGTACTTGTCTAATGGATAAGCTAACGGCCCAGGTGAAGGGCACTATGATGGCTTGGATGGCTAGTGATGTAGGCGGCTGAGGGATGGGCAGGTTGGGTTCAGTCCCCCACCTCAACTGCTCTTCACGCCTCATAAAGTCGCTGGTTTCATCCTCTTATCCCCTACCAGGGGGACTTTAAGGATCACTCCGGGGGATTATTCTTCTACCTCGAATTCTTGTTGGAGAGGTCACCTTTGGGTGACTTCAGGGATCTCCTGCCCATGCCAGCCCCTCTTCCCCTCCTTATTCATTTACTCACGGCGGCTTCCCCTCCCCTTTCTGACTTTTGCTTTCGTTTTTCCTGTCTATGGTGCCTACTGCCTCTTGGATGGGGCCTATTGTGACAGTGGGTGTGTGTCCTTCCCAGATGCCTACAAACTGGCGGGTGGATATTGGGGCTGGTGTGAAGGAGGTAACCTGTACCTTACTTTTACTTTTTAGCTCATTGGTGTAATTAAGCTAGGCACCGAGATTTTCTATTTCTTTCTTCATGTTTCTATTGTCGTATTTTATTTTTGATAAAACACCTTGATGAGTCGTCTTCCGGTCTGAAGTGGTGGCAGGAGTGGGATGGCTTCCTAGCTATTGGAGAGATCCCCAACATACCACGAGGACCCCTGTATGCCTTCTGGAACTGGTGGCTATGGAGAGCGCTCATAAATGTGCAGTGGTTTGATGTGAAATTCCAGCAGCAGCTGGTGACTACCATCACACAAATTTTGCTCCAGTAAAAATGATGTAACGGAGCTCCCCGACTGAGTACCCTCCATTGATGGACGCTTCCTAGCTTGCACCAAGGACCACAAGCACCGCAGAGGACACCACATCCACCGCAGACTCCACAACCGCTGTAGCTTGACTGGAGTCTCGCCATCTTCCTTCCACCCTGGATCAGCTTCTGTCCTCCAGGACCGTGTGGGAAAGACCTCTTCCTTCCACCCTGTATGAACCTCCAGCATCCAGGACTGTGCAGAGAGCATGTCAGGAACAAGCTCAGGGGAGCATGCAGAGCATAGCAATCCCCAGTGTGATTATAACAGGTCCCTCCAATAACGAGACAATTCTACATTTAGAGGGATCAAGAAGAACTGTCTAAACCTTTATTTTACTTGGGACTAGCCCATATGGTCATTACATTAACAATGCTGTGAAAACTCAATAAAATTACAAACAGCCAAATCATAGCAGGCAACATACAGTGACTTATTATAACACAATGGCATATTTTTAAAGAGGTGGGGGAGACAATATTTAACAGAAAGTATCTCATGTGCCTGCAGAATTAGCAATATGCAAATCTACCCGAATATGCAAATGAACCAGTCTTGCTATTCAGGTAGTGCATATTGCTGTTGCTACCAACAGAGGTCACTAGACAAGCTCCATAGCCAAATCCACCTAGTTGGTAGCAAACCTCAGCAGTACATGAGAGCAGGCAATACATTTCACAGTACACACACACACTACAAACAATTACATTACACACACCCTGCACCTATAATGGGTACAGGATGACTAAAACATAAGAGAAATAAAGCAACCTACATAAATAGTCTGTCTGAAGGTAGACTAGGGGCTTTAAAGCCAGATACATGAAAGAGTCATAGTCACAGGGGAGGAGGTTGGCAAGTAGGCCTCTCCAGGACCAAGTGGCGAAGGGCACTTTGTCACAAATGATAATTTTTTTTTTTTTTTTTTAAAGACCCTTACTATTACAGTTCCCTCATTTTGTGCAAATCTGCACATATTATTTTATCAGCCTTGAGCATTGGCCAATCCAGGAAAAAGCTTGGCCAATCAGGAGCTTATAATTCTGATCTATGGTGTTTGAACTGTGTAAATTGTTGAATCCAGCACTGCATAGTTTAAAACACAGGGTGAAGATAAGCAGAAATAGAGTTCTCTGTGCCCAGCTATTGCTCTGCTCAGAACTGGGGTTTCCAGGATCTGTAGTCCAGGAATCAATTTTCTGTGTATGAAAGCTGTTAGCTGGACTACAACTCGCTGTAAGATTTAATCTACTCCCCGATGGTTCCCTAGCTTTGTCAGGCTGTCAGGTTAGCAGTGGGGGTTTATGGCAGATCAAGCAAAGTAAAGTTTCTACAAGGCTTGGAAAGATTAGATCTTATCCTTTCAGGTATATTTAGATCATTTGATTCCTTTTAGATTGTAAACTTGTTTAGGCAGGGCTCTCCTCACCTACAGTTCCTGAACTAACACTAAAATGTAATTAACCACGTTTTTTTTTTGTTTGCAGGTATTAGAGAAAAATGCCAATCCACAGATGACTTTATTGACTTATCTACGCAGAATATGTATCCATTTTAATATCAATTGTGCATTGTAAAATATGGATTTAATTCACAAGTGAATTTAAAGTGATACTCGAAGTTTGGTGTACAGATCATGCCCCTGCTATCTCACTGCTCAGTTCTTTAAGGTAAATCAATCCGTTTATACAGCCCTAGTCACACTTCTCTGCACCTGACTTACACAGCCTTCCCAAACACTTCCTGTATAGTGAGATCTAATGTTTAGAAGAACATTATAGTGCCAGGAATACAAATATGTATTCCTGACACTATAGTGTTAACAAACATTTAAGGTGGCCAGCCCCCCCTTATTCCTCTTAAAAAAAGGGTGAAAGTTCAAGTTTATTCCTGCGCCGCTGGTGTCCACTGCAACTGGCTCTCCCTCATCGGCCCACCGGCAGAGTTCTATCTTGCAGCTCTTCCAGGTTCCTCTCGCGAGATCCGGCAATGCCCCCGATTTCGCAAGAGTGAACTCTAGCCCCACAGGCTAGAGTTCACTCACCACTAGCACCACCAGGGATGGCAGCACGGTCCTCCCGTCCCAGGCTAAAGGTAAGAAGGGAGGGGGAGATATAATTCCTCACACACATCACTCTCACACACATCACTCTCACACACAGCACCCTCACACACATCTCCCTCATACACATACAGCTCCCTCTCACATACACACACACACACATTACACACACACACACACACACACACACACACAGATTACCCTTACACACACACACACACACACACTTCACCCCTCACACTCACAGCACACTCACACACACATTACACACACACCACCCTCACATACACATCCCCCTCACACACACATTTCACCCCTCACACTAATAGCATCCATCACACACACACACTTTACCACCCCCACACACACACTGCACCCCTCACATACACACTACACCCCTCACACACACTTACTGCACCCTTCACACACCCATATTTCCAAACATATATATATATATATATATATATATATACTACAGCACCCCTCACACAAACATGACACCTCTCACACACATACTGCATCCCCTATACACACAATCTCTACAGCCCCTAGCCACACATGCATTTCATTACACCACAAGCACAACACGACTAAAACCGACCTTATTACACAATCCTACACCACAATCAGCTCACTTTACATTCACGCAATCCCACAAGCAGGCTCCAAACACATGCACAATACTCTTTCCTGGCCCTTTTGTCTCCTGGTATCCCATTTATAGAGACACCAGAGACAAGTTACAAGGAAAGTGCAAGCAAGTTATTAAATTTGCTTGCACTGGGCAGAACAAATACAGGGCTTTTTTTCTCATGCTAGAGCTCTTCACTAGAGCTCTGTGCATGGTCTGCCCTGGAAGAGCATTGAACCAACATGCTCACTTTGAGAAGGGGCGTGCTTGTCATTGGTGATGACAAAACACACCCTCTCTGCCTTGCCCCCTTCTTAGTGGGCCGCTGTGATAAAAATGTTTTTTCCCAGTCCGGTCCTGTTCAGCGCCTTCATGCAGAATGGGAAGACACTGAACGTCAATGCTGCACGCTGAACAGCACTGCATTTATCACCTAAACCTCAGGGGAATAGCTTATCGTTGGAAACAAATTATGTGTCCTACTTTCTCACAATTAAAAAACAAAATAGATCATTAATATATGTAAGAAAAAAATGACATGGCCATTACAATACAGGAATTATTATTTTTTTTTTTTATGTGAACAGATATTCGCAAGTGGAGAGAGGAATGATGTTCCATGACCAGGGGTCAGGCTCCTGGTGGGTGGAAGGGGGGTATAACCCACACATAAAGAGTTCCAATTGGCAGATATGGCCTGAGGCAGTGATGGCGAACAAGCCACATCAGAAAATAACCACCATGTATGCCGAAAACCTTGTGTCACCCATTGTATGACTGAGATGTACTATGCACAAATGTGTTGCCACATTAAACCAGTTTTTTTTCTGTTCCCTTACTACAGCCCTTGAAAAATGTATACAACTGCAATTTTGTGTTATGTGCTTAGATAAAACAAAAAAACGTCAATTATGAAACAAAAAAGTGATTTAACTCCTAAATGTCAAAGAATTGAGCAGTAAGGTCGTGGGGTATAATCTAGCTTTAAATTAATTAATAAAACCACACTCCTGCAGTAATGAAATACTGGGCACTGAAGCACACACATACATATATACTTTAAACCTACAGTTTCTTTCAAACATATTGCAATCCCTACCATAAGAATTCATCTATATTGTCATTTATCATATATCAGTAAATTACAAAATGGAGCATTGCAATGTCATTGTGTATTACGTAGTATTTAACACAGTGAAATCAAACTTCGAGATCCGTTACATGATAGATCATTCTCATGTCGGAACTTTTATTTTTGAGAAAAAATAGTACAAGCACTATAATCACAGCATCTCACTTAAGTGGTGATGGTGCAAAGGGCCTTTCGGTGCTGCCCCCCCATTATCTTTTACATGTTTCCAGTAGTTTGACAAATAGATCAGTACCTAATACCTAGAATTTCACTACTGCACAAAAACATGTCATGTACAGCAATAATATGCTGAGAGAAATGGCTGCAGGTTGGCAGACAATCATTGCTGTCCAAGGGGGTTGGACCTTAAGTGCTGGGAGAGTGTGTGTCAGTATAGTCTACAAAATATATGGAGACCAAGCTGAACCTATAACAAAATAGAACATAACATAGTGTATTACAGCAAATAAACAACAGTAAGCGTCAGTTGCGGCTCTAGACTTTTTGAGGCCTTAGGCAAAACTCAAACATGAGGCCCCCACTAACACCCAAAGAGACAAAATAAACGGGGGTTGCATTGTTTGTCTAAGGTGCTGTGGTTATATTGAATGATGGGCTTGCAGCGCTGGATACAGAGAGCTAGTCTCTGTATTCATTGTTCAGAGGCTTGCAGTGTCGCGGCTCCCTGTGCCGCTATGATTTGAGCTCTCTGACTAAAGTTATGACATCATTTGCACACTAAATTTGAAATAAATTGATGTAATTAGCAATTATGCTAATCGTTTATACACGACTGCAGGGTATGGTTACATGTATACGTTGTGTCGTGAGTGCCGATGTGTATATTTCTCAGTGTGTCTGGCATTGTCTACCTGTGCATGTGCCTGAAAGTATGTGTGTGACAGAGAGCATCCTAGTGTGTGAATTTACGTCTTTGTGAGCATGTGTCTGGGACTGTATATGTGTGTGGGGTAGCTGCTTGTGGTGTGTTGTAGTTATGGGGGCTGCCTGTGGCCTTTGTATATTGTGTTATGGCAAATCTACGTTTCATGACTGTGCATCTATGATGAATGACTTCAGTTAGTGGCTGTGACTGGGTTAGTAAAGGGGTAACTATGGCAGGGTGAGTGTGACAGAGTGAGGGGAGTAAATGAGACTTGGAAGATTGGAGAAGGATTTGAGGAGGTTAATGTGACAGGGTGTGTGTGGCATAGTTAAGGGATGTATCACAGGGTTGGGGTGAATGTGCCAAGTTTGGAGAAGGGAGTGTGACAGATCGAGGGGAGGCAAGTGTGGCATGTTTGGGGGGAGGAAGAGTGTGAAAGTGTTTGGGGTGAGTGTGGAGGACAGGATTGGATGGGGTTTATGTGGTAAGATGAGTGTGGCTGTGACTGGGTTGTTAGGGGCTGACAGGATAGGGGGCTGTGACAGGTTTGGATGGGCTGTGACAGGTATAGGGGGACTGTAACAGGGTAGGGAGGCCATGACAAGGTGGTGGGGGCTGTGACAAGGTGATGGAGGCTGTGACAAAGTGGTGGGGGGCTGTGACAAGGTGGTGGGGATCTGTGACAGCGTTGAGAGGGGCTGTGGCAGGGTAGAGGGAGGCTGTGGCAGGGTTAGGGGGGAGCTGTGATTGGGCAAGGGGGCTGTGACAGGGTTATATGGGCTGTGACAAGGTTTTGGGGGGCTGAAACAAGTTGGAGGGGGCTGTGACAGGGTTGGGGGGCTGTTACAAGGTGGGGGGGCTGGCTCTCTCCCTGGTGTCCGGTGGGCTGGCTCTCTCCATGGTGGTCCAGTGGGGTGGATCTCTCCATGGTGGTCCGGTGGGCTTCCTTTCTAGTCTGCAGCTCTGCCGGGAGTGAGCTGCAGACCACGTGGTAAGTCTTGCGATCTCCAGTCAGAGCGTTGCTGTGGAAACCCGTGGCAACGTTCTGAATTGCTGGAGATTGCGAAACACCTCAGTCTGCAGCTCACTCCCCGCAGAGCTGCAGACTGGAGGCTGGCTCTCCATCAGGGCAGGCTGTGTGGAGGGGACTTGCAGTCAGCGACATACAGGGCAAACCGTCAGGCCCTCAGTCGTAGACCGAAGACCCGACATGTGAGCCTGTCCTAAGGCAATTTAGGCAGCCCCAACCAGCGCAAGGCCTTAGGCGGCCGCCTAAATCGCCTAATTAGAGAGCCGCCTCTGGTAAGTGCATGATGTAGTTGAACTCACAGGATTGAGGTATTTCAGTGCATCAAGGTTGCCTCCCCTGAAATTGTGGGGGCTAATATCCCCTCCAAATCCACCTTATCCGAATCCACCTTATCTTTTGCAGCAACGGCATAGTGTAAAAAACAGGAATTACAACGGGGTAGAAAGTGGAAATCTGACTTTATTTTAAAACTATATAAAAAATAGGTCTTACGTATTTCCTTCCAATTCAGGATTTCCTCTGGGACCAATATTAAGAATAGAATAAAACAAACAGCCACATTGTTCAGAAACATTGCTTAAATTTGCACTTTTACCGCATTTCATTCGCAGTACAGAGTTTTTTTATACATGCGTTTATGCTTTTGGGAGGAGATCCCAAATATTGTTTGGGGGTGTGTGATGACGACAGTTCTCAAGTTATGTAGCTTCTCCAGATATATAACATTGTGTTTTTATTGTTTGTGAATGAAAGCCTTGGGGTGTGTTCGATAAACTCTGCATTGTAGCAAACAAAATCCAGATTGAAAAAAAGCCTAAAATTTCAGGTCAGAAAACATTCTTTCACGTACCCATAGTCCCAGCCTGGGTATTTTTGCTATAATTTGCTGTTTGGATTTCTCTACAATTCAGAATTTAGAAAATATCCCTGTGAGTTGATATGAGAGTAAAAAGTCCAAAAGTACATTAGGATCAGAGTTGGGGAAAGAAAAATAAAATCTGATTCTGTTGAGTCGGATAGGGATTTTCACTAGAGTGTGAACTGAAGAGAATTCAAATGGAATTTCATATTTTAGGTAAAACTTAAAAAATGTTGCTAAGTCAGTTTGGCTGTTAAAAAAATTTACTTTGAAATCGCAGCTATTCACACTTACGTGAGTAACCCTGAGAGACTTTTCCCCAACTATTTTGGCCTACACTTTGTCCAATCAGTGTATACTCACCCCAACTCGCTGTAACTCTGTTTACCTCCTTAACTGTCCATCAGTAAGGTTACCTGGAACCAAACTCGGCTGTGGGGAAGGAGGATGTGGAGCTTGTACTGTAATGGTCTCGAGATACAATCGATTCAAAGGGAAGATTGAGTATCCTTTTGATCACATGGCTTCTAGAATTCCTGGACCCCAGGGGAAGTATGGATCAAATGCATTAACAACCCATGTGTTCCTGGTAATGTAACTATGCATTTATTGAGATATCTCAAAGAAGTTTTAGACCCCCTGAGGAAATAAAAGTGGGCATAATTTAAATACTAATTAATGGTGAAAATGCTTGGCTGGAAAAAAACAAACTGCCAGAGGGATGTGAATCATTATCCTGCCATTATTAAAGAGAACACCCAACATACCTGTAAAAAAAATATAGATAAAACTAAATGAAATAGGTTGCAGCCTATATATTTAAACTGATCAGCCACAATATTAAAAACACCTGCCTAGTGTTGTGTAGGTCCTCTATCTGACTGTAGTACCTATACTAAAAAAACCATCCCTCGACCCGTCCACCCCCTCTAACTACCGTCCCATATCCCTGCTCCCTTTTTCCTCAAAGCTTCTGGAAAGACTTGTCTTTACCTGTGTGTCTCATTTCCTCAATTCCAACTCTCTCCTTGACCCCCTTCAATCTGGCTTCCGCCCTCTCCACTCTACAGAGACTGCCCTTATCAAAGTTACTAACGACCTAATCGCAGCTAAATCCAAAGGCCACTACTGCCATTATTATTGCCTATAAAGTACTGAACAACTCTAGCCCCTCTTATATCTCCTCACAGATCCATAGGTATGTCCCTTCTCGGTCTCTCCGCTCTTCCCGTGACCACCTCCTGTCCTAATGTGTTTTACACCCCACCTCCTACAGAATGTAAGCTCGATTGAGCAGGGTCCTCTTCAACCTATTGTTCCTGTAAGTTTATTTGTAATTGTCCTATTTATAGTTAAATCCCCTCTCATAATATTGTAAAGCGCTACGGAATCTGTTGGCGCTATATAAATGGCAATAATGATAATAATAATAATCTGCTGCCAAAAGAGTTCTGATGTATCAAGACCTCTGAATGTGTCCTGTGGTATCTGGCACCAAGACATTAGCAGCAGATCATTGAAGTCCTGCAAGTTGCGAGGTGGGGCCTCCATGGATCGTATTTGTTGTTCATGCAGATCTTACAGATGCTCAATTGGAATGAGATCTGGGGAATTTGAAGGCCAAGGTAACACCTTGAATTCTTTGTCTTGCTCCTCAATCCATTCCTGAACATGTTTCTGCAGTGTGTCAGGATGCGTTATCCTACTGAAAAAGGCCACTGCCATCAGGGAACCCCATTGCCATTAAGGCGTGTGCGTGATCTGCAACAATCTCTAGGTAGGTGGTACGTGTCAAATTAACATCCTCATGAATGCTAGGACCCAGGGTGTTCCCAGCTGAACATTGCCCAGAGCATAACACTGCCTCCGTCGACCTGCTTTCTTCCCATTATAAATCCTGCTGCCATTTCTTCCCCGGGTAAACGATGCTCACGTACCCAGCCATCGACTTGATCTAAAAGAAAACGTGATTTATCAGATCAAGCAACCTTCTTTCATTGTTCCAAAGTCCAGAGCTGATGCTCACGTCATCATTGAAGGTGCTTTTGGTGGTGGACAGGAATCATCATGGCCACTCTGACTGGTCTGCAGCTACGCAGCCCCATACACAACAAACTGCGATGGACTATGTGTTTTGACACCTTTTTGTGATGGCCAGTGCCTCAATGAGCCTTGTACCACTTTTGGTAGGTTCTATCCACTGCATACCGAGAACACCCCACAAGACTTGCCGTTTTGGAGATGCTGTGACCCAATTGTCCAGCCATCACTATTTGGCTCTAGTCAAAGCCACTTGCCCACTTTTCACTTGCCCATTTTTCCTGCTTTCAGCACATGAAATTCAAGAACTGACTGTTCACTTGTTGCCTAATATATCCTACTTCACCTGTGAGTGGTTTTAATGTTGTGGCTGATCAATGTATGTTTAAATAAGTGTGGGCCGCAGATATAGTTTTTCCATCCAGAGATTTGTAGGCTTATCCCCACCATACTATATCATATCTGAATTATTTTTGTTTGGTGCACTACTTGCAGAATATATTTTTATGTATTTAAATTCTTTATTTTTGACATGACAAATCAGGTGTTACATCGACATTATTCGGCTTATACAGGTGCCGAGATTTCGCAGGGACATACATTTTGTATTACATACAGGTAACTCTGTTATATTGTGGTGTTCATTTAAAAATGGTATTATTACGTATAGAAGCGTTATACTCTGTCGGTGCTCGCCCTCCGCCAAGGTTTTATCGGTATCGGTAACAATAACATTCGATACCGTTCCCCGCCGGGACGGCGAGGCCAGTACCCAATGGTGCAGAACTTTCCGAATTAGGTGGTGTACCACTTTATCTGTTCATATTTTGCAATTTGTTTTTACTGGAGCCGGTGCCCATTGGGCCAGCACTATTAATTAGCCTCTGGGGTCTGGCGTGGTGCTTGGTCTTACCGCCAGTGTCTTTCCCCACTGGGAGCTTTGGCTTTCTCTTACTCGGCTCACCGTTGTGCGTTATATAGGCTGGCCATAGTCGGGTCTATGGTCCTTGGCCCGTGTAGGTGTATATTGCTGTCTAGCTGATTTTTATGTATTTAAATGCATTTAAATCTACTGCAACAGAGATTGGGATTTGATAGATCAGTGACAGAGCTAGTGGTATTCAGTCAGGTGTTTAATCAGTATTCTTGGGTTTTACCATATACCAGTAAGGACTGAGGCAAGATGACAACTACCTAGTTACTGCTGACAGATCAGATGGTTCTACAAAAGACAAGACAAGCATTGCAACATGTACCCCCAGCACTTAGAGCATATAACAGAATGCTAATGATATGCCTCATGTAGCTAGACTGAGAACAAAAAGGTTCAGACACTTGAAAGCTCAGCAAGGTACATTTATTAGAATAACGTTTTCCAGAAACGTTTTGACCTTACACTGGGTCTTTGACTAGCTGTGCTAACTGCAAACTTTGTAATATTTCTAAGCGCCTTTAACCAATCATCATTCAGACATTATTCGGTTAACGCGTGCTTGGCACCGGTATGTTCTTTGCACCATGCCGCCGTGACAACGGTCGAAGGTATTGGGAGCACAAAGACAAGACTTCACCCTGTGCAGGTAAGTGAAAGTTAATTACTCTATATGTAAGTTACAGTAATCTGTGCAAATGTATATATTGAATCAGATCCGTATTTACTACAGGATTGCATTAAATTGAAAGAAAACGTATTATTTGGACTGTGCCAGTATCATATACATAAACAGCGAAACAGCTTTAATTGACTTACCTTTGTAATCCTACCAAAGTGACAGAGCCCCTTTAAATGCCATTTCTTATATTAATGAAATATTAATATACAGGGTTATTCACTAGTTAACATTTTTAGAAATTCAAAATTAATTCAAAGGCCAAAATAGCGGAATTAGAAAAAAATCAAAATCAATTCTGTTTTCATTTTGAATATTTTGGCCTTAAATTTCCTTAGAATTCCAAAAAATTTGCACTTTAAAGCCTGTAATTGTTAATAGCATATTGCTCTCAGAAGCAGGATTGGCTGAGAAGGATAAAATGTATTGTATTGTATTGGATCTACTTAGGAAATGGATAATAGTGAGTGCTCCAGATTGCTTCCTAAAGTGTTTTAGCCTGAGCACCGAAACCACAAGAAACACTCAAAACACCATAACCACTACAGCTTAAACCTGGGACACTCCAAGAACGGAATAGGTCTGTGTTTAATGTAAAAACCAAAGAAAAAAGTTACTTGCGCTCTTTCCACATCCCTATGTATTTTTAAACAAACTGAGGTTTTTAGTTACCTCCAATGGCCATGAGAGGGTATGCCCACCTGCCACATCATGACAGACCTCTTAGGCGGGTTCTAACTCTAACCATTCGCCTTCCTTCCTTGAGCTTCTGGCATAAATATTTCTAATGAGACAGAAAGGGGTATTTTTTTATATACACCCCTACATGCTTATTACCCCCTAATAGGGAACACATGGGATCGGCAGCAGCATTGCAACCTAGTGTGTGATACAAAAGTGAATACAAATACAAAGAAACTAGTCCTGTTTAATGTGTCTCTGCATGTGTCTATCCTGCAGCAAGTCACTGAGCCTGTCCCTGTAACTTATTCAACCCAAAACGTGTACTCCTTTTCAAAGAATTGTTGTTGAACACACCTGTAGGCTGTCACGTTAATTAGGTATTTTCCTTCAGTAAACAAGACGCTCTGTCCGCATTCATCTATTCTACTGGGAAATGCTGAATATTTAGAAACATAGAAACATAGAATGTGACGGCAGATAAGAACCATTCGGCCCATCTAGTCTGCCCAATTTTCTAAATACTTTCATTAGTCCCTAGCCTTATCCTATAGTTAGGATAGCCTTATGCCTATTCCACGCATGCTTAAACTCCTTTACTGTGTTAACCTCTACTACTTCAACTTGAAGGCTATTCCATGCATCCACTACCCTCTCAGTAAAGTAATACTTCCTGATAATATTTTTAAACCTTTTATTATTTGCAATAATAAGATACAGAAATATGTTTTGTATTATTTGGGTATGAAAATGAGAGTCAAAGGGTCAGCGTCATGGCAAAAACTGTGCATCTAGTATCGTACCAAAATAATCAGCATAATAACTTGTATAAGTTGGTATCACAATACCTTTCAACCTTTGGACTACAAATTCAGGGGCCCTCTACATGCCCAGAGGTAGCTCTGTTCGGTCAAGTTTATACCCCTGCTGTATGAGATGCACAATTTAACTTTTGGTGCCAGAATAGTACCTTTAACGGCTGATGAATACGATAGCGATTGCTGCCGTCCAAGATTAGTGGGAGTTTGAGTGCAGGGATTAGTTTTGTGTGTTTATATAATGCTTTCTGCTTCCATGATTGCAGGAGCGTATTGCGAAAAGCCATGGCTCCCAATGCGGGTTTTGCACGCCTGGGATTGTGATGTCGATGTACTGCTTGCTCCGAAACAATAACCAGCCAAGAATTGGCGAGATTGAAGCTGCATTTCAAGGTATTGCATCAATCTCTGGGATCCATTGGGCCACATGCAATGGTGTATTCTGGTTTTGTGCTGCCCTAGGCAGGACAAAACTCAGGCGCCCCCTCCCCCCCCGTGCCACCCCCGCCCAACCTTCTAAATACACACACACATTCACTGACAGATACGCATACACTAGCTAACAGAAACACACACACACCCTAACAGACACACTCACACTCACTAACAGACACACTCACTAACAGACACACACACACACTAACAGACACACACTCACTAACACACACTCACTCACTAACAGACACACACACACACACACACACACACACATACTGACACATACACTAACAGACACACTCACTCATTGACACACAGACACACACACAGCGAACACACACTAACAGACACAAACTCACACACTAACAGACACACTCACACTCACTAACAGACACACTCACTAACATACACACTCACAGACACACACTCACTCACTAACAGATACACACACACACATACTGACACACACACACTCACTCACTAACAGACACACTCACTCATTGACAGACACACACACACAGCGAACACACACTAACAGACACAAACTCACACACTAACAGACACACACACACACAGACACACACACACTAACAGACACACACACACACACTCACTAACAGACACACACACACAGCGAACACACACTAACAGACACAAACTCAAACACTAACAGACACACACACTAACATACACACACTCACACACTAACAGACATATACACACACTCACTCACATTAACATATTTTTTTTATTTATTTAACCCCCCCCCAGCCTCCTTACCTTTGGGAATGCTGGGGATGGGGGGTTGTCTTTCTCCCTGGGGTCCAGTGGCTGCTGGGCTGGGCGGGCGGCTGGCGAGGGAGCACTTCCTCTGAGCTGTCTGCTCAGCCCCCTCGTGCGCCGCAGAGTGAGGCTGGGAGCCGGAATATGACGTCATATTCCGGCTCCCAGCCTCACTCTGCGGCGCGCGAGGGAGCTGAGCAGACAGCTCAGAGGAAGTGCTCCCTCGCCAGCCACGTGCCCGCCTGGCATGTTAGTTAGCCGCAAGGCTAACAAGGCATTTGCCCTGGACATTTGGGGGGCCGCTTTTTTTGCCGCCCCCTGGAAAATGCCGCCCAAGGCAAATGCCTTGTTTGCCTCGCAGCTAAAACGCCCCTGGTGGTACTGTTTTATTGTTGTGCCATACAAGCTGTTGCCCTTCTTCAGTATTTGATCAAGATCATCCTTCCTCACATCATCAAGCTCACTGTGGTATGCCAAAAATGTCAGAGCCATGCATGTACACTCTTTGTTCCTTAACCTTCCATAGCCATGATGACCCTGATGAAATGATGCCTGCACAGATATCTCACTTGGTACACATGGTTCTAGCATGCCATGGTTTTCAGAAATGCCCATCACACTGTCACTGTGCTCTTGAACTTGACACTGAGTTGAACATGTTAATGAAACCACAGGTTCACTATGTACCTCCTGGGCACATTCACTGTCACAAACCTCCATTTCCACTATGCTGCTGTGGGACTCCGGATCCCGAAAGCGTAGGTCTGAAAGGTCCAGTTTAGTCCAGCGTATCTTTGCAGCTTTAGATCTCTTTCCTTTAGATGGCATGATGATATTCACACAGCTAACGATTAATAAAACGCTGACTAGTGTAAAAAAGTAAATTTAAACTTATACCCCAAAGTCTGAAGTGGTCTAGGATGGATAAGTACAGTAAATCTCTAATTTCTTTTCATAAATGTAGCTAGTTGGAACACCTCAAATACTCTCTACTGTATTAAACTTATTTCCAAACCTTTAACCAAAAGCCGGCCAAACAGTCACAAATTCAAAATTAGATTTCAAAGAGGGCAGAGAAGAGCTTTCAAATCTTTAAAATCCCTCGAACATTCCACCAACTGCCAACAGGAACTAATAGATTCCAAATAGGGCAGAGAAGAGCGGTTAAAAACAAACTGCTCCAAATTGCTCACTTCACTGGCGGTTGCCATCTTCAAACGGTCGTATTTAAAAAACTATAAATCCTACAGCGAAGAGCTTTATATTGTGAGTATCACAAGACCCATACCTACATTTTTATGCATAGTATGTCTCTGAATTATTACAAATGAAGGCACAGTAGCAGTTTAGAAATTGCCCTTCAAATTTGAGCTTTGCAGAGTGAAGTTTCAATGAATGTCAATGGAAGGCGTGAGTTGCAAACAAATGGTCATATTGTGAAAACTATCAGGACTATGGCTTAGCCGTGGACATGTTTAGTGGTAGCAGGGATAGCCGAATGTTTTGATATAAGATTTGTGTAAGTGGGCTTGAAAATGAGGGAGTGGTGGCAGTTTAGAAATCATGTCCTGATTTTACAGCTTTTGCCAGCTCCCACACTAGTTTTGAACATTCCGCCATTCATTCCTATGGGACCAATTTCACCACAAGAACTACGATATTCCGTGAACCATTCTGCGAAACGTTCCACAAAGTAATAGCAATCCAATCGGGAACAATGCGCATGTTTCGGTATATTACTGTCTATGTAGTGTAAAAACTGTGGGAGGAGTTGGGGTGGTAAATTTGGCTATAATAAGAATTATATATATGTGAGATAACATTACGTGGTCTTGCTATGCAAGAACACTTAATAATATATATGTGAGATAATAGTAAGTGGTCTTGCCATGCAAGTACGCTTAATAAAAACAGGCCTGGTCCAACATATCAAACCAGTAAGAATTTTCAGGGGGTGGGGAATTTATCTTCACCTTTTGACCCTCTTTGTTTGCATTCCCCTGTGACGTGAAACATTCCTCAGTTGTACAGCGCTGTTGGTTATGTTGGTGCAATATACATATACCTAATAATAATAATTATAATTGTGCTATGAGTGAACGTTATTAATTTAGCACTCCTCTGATCTTAAACAGGCAATCTGTGTCGCTGTACGGGGTACCGACCCATACTCCAAGGCTTTAAGACTTTTACAAAGGTGAGTTCGTTAGAAATCTTTGTGAGATAAACAGGATTATCTATTAAAATGAGAATTACCTAGCATTCAAAGTGAATTAAAAATTCTGAATTCCTGGCAATTCACACGTTAGTGAATAACCCAGCTTGGGGATGATTTACTTTAAAATCCGTGACTAGTTGAGTTAAAAGAAAAAAACAACAACAAAAATAAACTTTTCCAATAAAAGCTAGAAGGAGCAGAGAATGAGTTACCCCTCAGCCTAAATTCCTCTTTACCATAAACCACTTTAACCCTATTTGTCTACCCCCTTAACTCTAATCTCCCCTTAACCATAAGTCCCTCTACAGCTACCCTCAACTCTAACCCCTAATCTTACCAGAGCAGCATACTTGCCAAAGTTTTTTTTTAGAATGACATAATGATGTTGCAGCCATTACCATAAAAAGTGTATAAACTGACATTTAGTGAACATTAATTGGTATGAAAATAGAATCTTTTCTTCCCCGGGAGAGACCCGTCTTTGTGTAGATTCAGTAGCGGTTACAACTTGGCTCACCCACAAATTTCACCAAAAACTAGGATACTTCACTGCAGTAGCAATGAGAACAGCCTTCAACCAACCTCAACAACTGCCAAAGCTGATTTACGATGGCATACACTGGCACTGCCCATACCAACTCTGAGTGACGGCCTATGTATACAAAGAGACTACGCAAACCTAGGTTCTGTTTTAATGTTTGCTTCAGTGAAAGAAAGAAATATTAGAAGATCGGTTTAGTGTTGCTTTCAGTTTTACACTTTCTCATTTATTTCTGTTTTATCTAAAGGATCATAGTAAATATTTAATGCATAGTTGGTAACCAAATAATCCTCTGTTATCAGGGAGGATGTTGCGGCAAAACTATGGTGAACGGCTGCTGTAAGAACGGTAAAGATGACAATGCGGTAAGAATGTTAAAGATCACAATGCGGTAACGAGTGTTAAAGATCACAATGCGGTAACAAATGTTAAAGATCAAAATGCGGTAATGCATGTTAAAGATGACAATCCGGTAGCGAATGTTAAAGATCAAAATGCGGTAACGAATGTTAAAGATCACAATGCCATAAAGAATGTTAAAGATCAAAATGCGGTAATGAATGTTAAAGATCACAATGCGGTAATGAATGTTAAATATGACAATGCGGTAACGAATGTTAAAGATCACAACACGGTAACAAATGTTAAAGATGACAATGCGGTAACGAATGTTAAAGATCACAATGTGGTAATGAATTTTAACGATTACAATGCGTTAAGCAATATGAAATCCCTGGGTTCTGTTGATGTTCTTCTACAAGAGTATTCTCCTCATAGGAACATAAAGTGTGATGGTGGATAAAAGCCATTTTGCCCTGTTGACTGCCCATTCTCTCTCCAAAATGACTGGCTTTACTCGTTATTTAATTTCCTGCCCAGGACAGCAGTGTCTCTATGGTTGGCAGATTTTAAAAATGCTTATGAGGGTCAAAAAAATTATTGTGTGCCAACATACAGTATATAGATATACACACAAATGGATACACTCCTCCTATATTCCCTCACGTACACACACATTCTCTCCTATTATAATGAGCATGCACACACTTCTCATTTTCACTGTTATGTATCACCTGCATATCTCAAGTTCTTCTTGGGCTGTGGCAGGGATATGCAATGTATTATCATATACTGTAACTAAATCCCCATTATTTTTGCCTAGTTGAAGTGTTTTGAAAAACGATTAAATTCTGTGAGTTTGTTGTATCTAGTATTTTTATATACAGATGATCCTCACTTACAACTTGGCCGTAAATCGAATTGGTCGGTAAGTGAGGATGTGCTAGAGAGCTGCTCTGTGTTCAGTGGAATTCCCCCAAACATAGACCAGTTCATTAGTGCAGGGGATCCTTTGAATCTATGTTTGGGGAAAATTTGCTGAACACAGACCAGCTTTCTAATGTTGGGGAATCCCTTGAATCCCCACACTAGAGATCTGGTTGTAAGTCCGAGCAGTCATTGTGCAGGTAAGTCGCAAAGTGGGAACAACCTATATATATATATATATATATATATATATATATATATATATAAAACTAATCATGAAGGAGAGCTCTCACTGGACTTTTATATATCAACATTTCAGTCTGCAAAGACTTTCATCAGGATTGTATATATATATACACATACATCTTAAATTCATAGACATCTGAAACAAGTCTTTAAAAAGTTCTGCTATGGGACATGAACATTGACAATTAGTCACCCATACACAGCCCACTCCCCAGGCACAGGGATTATGTGAGATTACACTTTTGCATTATCAAGTACACTCCATTGGCTATGGGCATTGGGGCAGGGTTAGCTCAAAGACCCATAGCACCATAACCACTGCAATGAATAGTGAAGGTTATACAGCAGCTTGTGATGCAATAAATAAGATATTATTTAATAAAAAAATGGCCAATCAAAGTAGAGTTTGAACACGGATTAAATCTATAATTATGATTTTTTATTATTATTTAATTTTGAAAACTTTAAATGATAACTGAATGTTTCTCTGATATTATCAGGTAGGATGTTGTGGAAAAACGTCAGAGAATGGTTGCTGTATGAACGAGAAAGATGATCACGAGGTAGGTAACTTTGTTTCCCTTTCAGTCAAATGAACCAATTTTATGTTTTTTTTGGTTGCTTTTCTTTTGATTATTACTGAAATAACATTATGGCCAGTGGCTTCCTTGATTGGATCTGTTCAATAAAAGAGAATTTAAATCATAACTGATAGAAGAGATGGCTTATCTAACCGCATCTTAAGAAGTAACTCCAGTCTTATGATTTTAATTAAATCCATAGTTACAAAAGGCGTCAGAGCTCTATGATCCATCTGATTTCAGACCATTGGATCCAACACAAGAAGCAATATTTCCTCCGGAATTAATGGTAAGCCTTTTATACTCTTTATTATAATTATTGAAACTTATTCCAGACAAACATGCCGAACGGTGCTGTATGATCAGGAGAAAGGAGCATAACATCATCTGGCAATGAATGCTTATCAAAGGAAACATTGAATTTCTGGATTTTCATTCCCTTAGAATAATGATTCCTGTATCCGAGGTTTAATTGAACACTCCAAGCACCATAATCACTAATACACACTGTAGTGGTTGTGGTGCAAGCAGCCAGTATAAGGAGTCCATCCATTTTAGAACAATTTGACTTCTTACCTGGAGTCCGCTGGAGAATTTTGGTCTGAACTAAGCTCAGTATTGCAGAGCTTAGCACATTGGCTGAGAATGATCACCTGACACTGTAGGTCTTGGTTTAAGAGAGCCAACAGAAGCTCTTAAGGAAAGGAGGTCGGAGCGTTGCTCGGAGGACCATCGATAAAATATCAAACCGCTCTTAAATAATTTTACTACTAACAGTCCTGGCACCAAAACCACTGGAGCACTACCCCAATGTTGGTAGTGCTAAAGGTTCACTCCTTAATTGGGGTAACACCGGCTACCGCTTCCTGCCTGTCCTCTTAAACTACGGAGAGCTAGAAGCTTCTGTTAGGAGCTTCCACTAGCTCTGTCTGAGCTAAACCCGGCAGTACTGGGCATGATCATTGGCTGTCAGTGTCAGATGATTGCTCTCAGACAGACAGCTTTTGCCTCTATGTAAAGTTGTAGTGGAGGTAGGGAGCAGTTCCCAGTAGACTCCAGGCAAGGAGTCAATCCTTTCTAAAATGGTTTACCATTGGGAGGGCCCAGGGCCCTCCCGGCACAAGAAATACTACAGCGCGTTATAGTAGTTATGGTGGTTGGATTGTTTTTTTAAGGAATGGATTAAAATGATAAGTGATTTTATAATGATATGTTATATACTGGAGGGTGGGGGGATTATTTGATCGAAATGCTTTTGTTCCAAGTGATGATTGCATTGTTTCTGTGCCTCTCAAAGATACAAAAATCGATGCCACAGAAACAGGTTTATTTTAAAGGAGATGGCGTGACCTGGTACCAGCCGTCCAATCTCAGCGAGCTCTTGGCCCTCAAATCCAAATATCCAGAAGCAAAACTGGTGGTGGGAAACACTGAAGTTGGTGAGTGAGAGCCTAGGCATGTACAGCACTTCTCAGTATGGTCTTGTTTTTAACAAATGTTTATTGAATACCAATCTTAAATTACATTTAATTGTATTCAACAAACCAAAATACTTCACCTTTATTTTAATTAACATTTTAAATTTTTGAAAAGCATAAAAATTTTAAAAAAAGTTTAAAATGCATATGAAAGATTTCCATTTTCTGTAGTTTTAATTAAATGCATGCAATTTTAAATTTTCTTCATTATCAACAAATAAAGAACTAACTTAAACTGGCCCATTCTATGTCAAACCATTTTCAAATATTAGAAAAAAAATGGGCCACTCTTGGGACCTACAACCCATCCCCTCTTCTGTAACAGAATATTTGGGCAGTATCTGAGAGCACTAGAGTGAATTGATCACTGTTTCTTTTTTTTTTTAAATTGTCACCAAACTACATAGTGCTGTATAGACATCAGAGATGTCAAATAAATAACTAATGTGAGTAATAGCCACACTGTATACAAGAGGAGACTTTGGCAGTGATGATGTTTGTTGTATTTGGGTGATCACACTATAGCCAATGATCACACTATAGACATACTTGGGAAGAATAAAAGTCTTCTGTCGCATTTACAAAACAGACTAAACACACTAAAATGAGCAATGTCCTTTTTAAAAAAAAAAAAAATAACCCCTTTTCCATCACTGTATTGGGTAGGACTCACAGGGAGACATTCCACATTTATCTCACATGGTTTATCTCATGTTACGGAGAATTCTAAGGCTGGGATAACAAGTGGCTGTTGGTTAAAGAAGACATTTTTGGCTTTATGAGCCTACATTTCATAAAAGGTGGACATAACTTTGAAAATGGCTGCCTTAGGTTCCCAGGCTCACTGTTCTAAGTTATATATATAACCGTTAAACCTTAGAAAACCTTAGCAAAGTTTTACTCAACACAGTCCAAAAGTTAATACATTAATACATTAATACAGATCAAATGTAACATTTTTAAATTTATACTAATTACTGTATTGATGTCTACAACACATGCCATTCTAGATAGAACACAGACATATATTTTTACATATAATATGTGTATCCCAAATGTCTTTTTCTTACAGGCATTGAAGTAAAGTTTAAAAATATGCAGTACCCAGTGATAATTGCACCTGGATGGGTCAAAGAATTAAATACAATTGAGTACACACAGGAAGGTGAGAATAGTTATAATTCAATTGTAATTTGCGAGAGCAAGTTGCTTGATGGTTTTGATGCGAACGTTTATCTGCGGTCTAGGGTTTTTTGTATAAACGTCTTTCTTTTGTCTATTTATCATGCGATGAACATTTTATACTTTTTTTTACTGATACCCTGGCTTGTGGTAACTTAGACAAATAACCTCTGGTTCTACCAGTAATTAAAGCAAAAATATGACTTAGGAGTGTGGTATAGGACAATACCAAAAGGCAAAATAGTTTATACTAGTGCAGCTATTGTGTATTCCCATCAGCTAGCAAAATATAGCAATCCAAAGTATTCATCCACAAAATGCAGCCTATTCATAGGGGCCCACTAGTGCAGCCCAAAATTATTCAAAAAGCATTCAAAGTACAGGTGTTTCGGGACCACTGCACATTTATCAATGATAAATGCCCTCAACCAGTAATTGTGATAAAAGAGTTTAGTAATTGATATAGAGTAATGTACATTACGCTGTCGTAACAGGCAAGAACAGTATTGGAGAGTAAAATACAATGGATTTGAGGGTTGATAATGTTTTTGAAATGTGTTCATAACATGTATCAGACTAAAGGGACTCTCTAATGCCAGGAAAACATATTAGTGCTCCTGGCACTGCAGGACCCTGCAATGCCCCCCTCGCACCTCCCATCCCATGTTGCTGAAGGCGTTAAGACCTAATGCGCATGCGCGGCAACGGCTGCGCCCGGGAATTACACCTCCCCATAGGAAAGCTTTATTCAATGTGGGGACGTCCAGCTTTGCTTAAAACACTTTTCGTGTTCTAAGAACAGCCACTAGAGGAGGACTTAACTCTGCAAGGTAATTATTGCAGTTTATAGAAACTGCAATAATTACACTTGCAGGGTTAAGGGTAGTGGGAGTTGGCACCTAGACCACCCCAATGGGCAGAAGTGGTCTGGGTGTCTGGAGTGTCCCTTAACTGTAAAGCTAGACTAAATATCCATTCGGAACTTGAAAAGGAAATACTAATTATGATGTTTGAACATTTTGGCCTCGATTTAATAATTTTGGATAAACTTTTAAAATGACTTAATATTTAAAAATATATTTTTATATATTGTTAGAAATATAATATTTTTGAAAAAATCACATTAAAAGTTTATCCATGAATATAAAATAATTTGAAAAGCTTATACACAAATATTAAATCGAGTAATTTGTTGGTCGAGACGTATTAATTCCACTCCATTGGCTTATATTGTTATAAATGTATTTACCTGCATGCTCACAGGTACGGGCACCTTTCAGATAAGGATAGATCGCAATCCGTAAAGCTTGTGCTAACACATACATTTATTTAATCAATTCATTTAGGTTTCATTTAAACATTATTACCTCTTTTTTTTTTATCAGGTATTTATTTTGGAGCAGCCTGCAGTTTGACCACCATGGGTGACACTCTAAAGAAAGCCATATCGGAACTCCCCGCATATAAAACAGAAGTCTTCAAAGCTGTCTTGGAACAACTGAGGTGGTTTGCTGGAGAGCAGATCCGTAATGTTTCCGTAAGGGTCACACAGAAAACACGAATGAAATACATACAAGCACATTAGACAATTCTGTTACAAAATATCTGTTGACATTCTCACCCATGTCAAATCACAGATGACATCTTATGTCACCTGGACTCCTGTTGGGACGAGCTTCTCAATGCGAATTTTAGGTTTTCTATTTATTTATGACTGCCTTTTATGTATTGTCAGACATCATCAATTTATTTTAAGTTTTCAAACACAAAGTGTAGACAGTCTATGGAGTTAAATAATGAAAGGGGAGTTTTAGAATTGAAAATATCTTTCAAAATTTAAGGTCAAAATAGCCAGGTTGGAAAAATTTCTATTAGAATTTTTCACTAAAGTGATAATTGTCAGGAATTCAAAGGCCAAAGTATCAAAATTGGAAAAATTCCCCAGTTCAGCTTTGCTCTCAGTCTGGCTACTCTGGCTTCAAAGCTTAAATTCAAATTGAATTCCCAATAATTTTCACTTATTGAATAACCCTGTAAGTCATTTATGCTTTCAGTTTGACTAGTCTGGGTTAAAGTTTGAAATGTACTTTTAAATCTCACTTTATTAGAAGGAAATACATTTTATTTGTAACCTTTTTTTTTATCAGGTTCTGTATTTTTTTTATGCAATATATCCATGATGTTTCAATAGGTGTCATTTCCGCCCAGAACCACCGCTAATTTTTTCCCACGGTGTTCTTTATGTTGCATTTCTCAGTTAGATTGTCAACCTGTCAGAACTTTGTTTAGTGAATATGTCCCTTTACCTCTCCCCATGCGCTGATTGTACTTACTGATTGTCCTGTAATATTTTCCAGGCCGTGGGAGGAAATATAATGACAGCAAGCCCGATTTCTGATCTCAACCCTGTTTTTATGGCGAGTGGAAGCAAACTGCATCTAATCAGTCATGGTACGGATCATTAAAAAGTGACAAAACTGTTATTTATCTGCCGCTCCAGATAAATAACTTCCAGTTCCTCAAAAATGTCCCCATTTGCCGCTGCCAAGTAACTAACTCTATAATCACAAGTTCCTACATTCCAATAATGATTTTCTAAATCCGAGTTTGTAAACTACGCCAGGAATCTTTACTCTGTGAAGTGATTTGTAGTTGTTAGTACAAAGGTTGTAGTTTTGACAATAAATGCCAGTTATTCACATGATTCTGATTCATCGTGTGGCAAAAAAAAAATCTAGTGAGAGATTAAAAAGAACATTTTAACAGATAGGACCGAAGGAATAACCGATAACTGTAGTAGGTGTTCATTTTTATCTTCGGCACATTAAATCAGAGTTAATTTTCGTTTTAATAGTTTACTTTTATCATTTTAAATTTGTTTGTGTAGACATGTATTGAGATTTTAGGCTTTAGATGTCTCACTGGGATTTATATTCACAGAAAGTAAAAGGACTGTCTGTATGGATGAAAACTTTTATACGGGCTATAGAAAAACCATGTTAAAACCTCAGGAAATTCTACTCGCCATTGAGATTCCATATTCGAAAAAGGTAGACACCTGCTCTAGTCTTACATTTTAACAGTTCCTGAACTACTGTGCATGTTCCATTAGCATTCGCTAGTGAAGAGTAAAGGATCATGGGAATGGGGTGTAGATGTAGTTTTAGTGCCATGTCAAACAACTGTAACAAGAGTGAAAACTAATTTACTTTCTACATTTATGATAATTATAATAATAGTAATAATATTGATTAATGTTCTCCTAGTGCCACTAAATGGCGCAAATAGTGTTATGTCTTGATTTGCAAAATGTAATAGAATATTAGAGTAAAGATAAGAAACAACAATGCAATCTTAGAACCTCAGATTTATTGGCATTACCCTTTTTTGGCCAATTTTTAATAAACCATGTTTTTAACATGTGTAAATTCCGCAGTGGGAATATTTCTCAGCTTTCAAACAAGCTACACGACGCGATGATGACATAGCCATCGTCACCAGTGGAATGAGAGTCCTTTTCAATGCTGACAGTCATCGTGTGGAGGAGATTCAGTTGAGCTATGGAGGGATGGCTCCTGTCACTGTCCTGGCACAAAACACTTGCAAGGAACTGGTTGGAAGGTAGGATGCCAATGGTCCATAAAAAGAAAATGGAAATGTAAAGAATGGGAGCAATGGATTCAAGGTTTATACCATAATAAATTACTTCACTCCCAGAAATCGACTATTCGTGTTTATTCCAAATATTTAGCAAAATTACATTTAGTCCAAAAAGCATCATGCACCATAATGTATACTCTAGTAATGAATAGCAGCCGGTAGAGGAACACATTTTTTTTTGCCTGTAGCCATAGTCATTGATCTAATGCCCTAAGATGTTCAGAAAATGTCGGCTCAATCCTTGCTTCAAAACAGTAAAGGAGGTTTTTAGTGGTCATGTCATTCCTACTGTCAGGGAGGTGGAGAAGTACAGACTGTACCATTTCATTGTTAGCATTGCAAAACATTCCAGTGAGTGATAAATATTGCTTTAGCAGTTTCAAATATTTTTTCTTGGAGAGATATATGATTTAACTGTATTTCCTTTATACATTACGCTAAAACGTAGACATTATTTTTACATTATGTGGCAATTTTAGTAAGCTCTACTCCTAGTAATGCCTTATAGGCCTTTACAAATGCCTATAATAAATACTATTTTTGTTACTGTATGTGAGAACAATTGCTGTTTTTTATATGTTTATTTTCTAGCACTGCCCCCCTTGCTTCAAATACATGTTTTGATAATATTTTTCCATCGCAATGTTATGTTAAAAGACTAATTTGGACTTTATATAGCAAATTGAAAATAATTTTTTGTAGAAATAGATACGGTTAAATTCATTACAATCTGAAACAAATAGAGATTGGCTTACAAGGTGAAATGGACGGTTACAATTTTGTTGTTGAATTATTAGACAAAAAGATTTACTCACTATACTCAATGGTGGGGAACCGAAAACTAAATTGTGAAATTTAAATAACCAAACGATGACTGTAGCTGAATGAAGAATTTTTCCAATTCAGCTCTTTTAGCCTACATTTTAACCCCTTAAGGACCAAACTTCTGGAATAAAAGGGAATCATGACATGTCACACATGTCATGTGTTCTTAAGGGGTTAAACTTGCAGGTTTATTCACTAAAGGGAGAACTCTAAGTGAATTTCGAATGTAAGGCCAAAGGAGCTGAACTGGAAAAATCTGCAATGCTTCCAGAAGAGCTACTTTGGCCTTACATTTGTAATTCACTTTGTAGCCACCTTGAATTCTCGCTTTAGATAATAGCTTTGTAGGTTTTCATTTCACTAGTGAATCAGCCACAGTTATGAAACATTCTTTTTGTTGTTGAAAATATTGTTCTGGTAAATTCACTCAGATTATTAGAACCTTGCTTATTTCTAACTGTTCTCCTTCTTGCAGGGAGTGGGGTGACTGCTTGCTGCAGGATGCCTGCCAGTCTCTCGCCAAGGAGATGTCTCTCTCCCCCAGTGCTCCTGGTGGCATGGTCGAGTTCCGTCACACTCTCACCCTTAGCTTCTTCTTTAAGTTCTACCTCACTGTACTGAAGAAACTGGCACTGGATGTAAAAGGGACTGTGAGTAGTGTATCCAATGACTTTAGTATTTACATCACCTCTTAGGAATCAGAACTTACTGTATCAACACGATGCATTATAATCGCATTACTGTGCACATTTGATTGGTAATACCTTTTCAAAACGTAATAATAGTGAATAGCAGAATTGCATGAATACATTTGATTGATTGATTGATTGATTTTTCCATTCCCTTCCTTTAATTTTTCCAAAGAACAAAATAGAAAAAATAGAGGCTTTGCAAATAGTTGCTGTGTGCACCCAACACAGTGCTACTACCATTTATTAGAAAAACAAATAACAAACATTTTGGAGTAATCCCTTTGTCAATGCATCGTGTCCCTTTAATTTTTCCTTTACTTTCCTTTTTCATTTTTGATTTAAACTTCTCTTTCCCCGAGCTCTGTTTTGCAAGTGATTGGCAGCCTCCATATGCATTTTTCTCATGTGGACGAGTATGTGGAAGTGGCGCTGATGCGGACTCTATTCACAAAGAAATTCTGATCGTGCAACATTATACAAAATGGCTGTCAAAATGTAAAAACAGAATTATTACTTTATTTCTTACACACTTTCAGGATTAATCAGAGATAATTTACAGTGACTTTCAAATTCAAGGTAAACATGTCTGACCTGGTAACATTCTTCTGTTAAGACAGCTGTGGCTTCCAGCAAGGCTAATTTGGCCTTATTTTGAAATTCACCTTCATTTCTCACTTTCGGGAATAACTGTTTGAGTGCCGGAGATAAGACCAGTATATTCCAAAGCAATCTTGGCACTGAAAGGGTTAACGCATATCGCACATAATGTATTACACAGTACGCAGTAAAATACTTATATTAAAGCGTTATATTACTCCTGCTCTGAGCCAATTAATAATCACGAAATTATGAAAATTGTCAGCACAGGAAAAATAAAAACATTTAGTGATAAAAACCCAGAACAGGATAATACTCTGCACCTGGAAACCTGGGTTAATAAAACAGGCTACTTTGGCAGAAATACCCAGTGCTAGGATTGGGGGCACAAGTCAGAGCCACTGTATACCTCTTCTCTTCCCGGTGGCTAAGGTAAATTCTTTTTGATGAAATATGTACCATTTTTTTAAATTATTTTTTTGTTTTGTTTTTTATAAATAAGTAAAAAAACACGTTTCAGAAGTCACATCCAGTGAATATATTATTTAACATGGAACAACATGTACGTAATTAAACCCATTTATTGTTTACTATTAATTCTGTCTTTCTTCACTCAGATTGATGTTGAGAAAATTCCTCAGAAATATGAAAGTGCTATCGAACTGTTCCACCAACCATACCCAACCGGTGTACAGCTGTATCAGGTAGGAAAGTGTATGCAAACTCTTTATGTTAATGGAAAAAAAGCAGGTGCACTTATTTTAGAAACAGTGGCTGAATATTTGGGCTTATTTGTATAGAGCTTGGTTTTGCTAGAATATTCTTTTCAAATATTATTTTTTTGGGGGGAAAAAACAACCGAAAAAATATATATTGTGTTCCATTCATACAATTATATATAGTTATATGAAATAAACAATGGGGAGACCATTCATCCGGACACACTAAATAGCTACATCTTATATATCGACAAAACTTCACAGCAACACCTTAAACAGCATGTGCCGTCCTTTTAAATACTTCTAAACGTCTTCACAGCCTTTCACACGTATTAGACACATTTTACTTCTTCACACATTTTCAAAGAAGGCTTTCTGGATCAACTATGGTTCTCATTAAGATAAAAGGGCTTGATAAATCTTCCCATACATTTTTTCGATATTTGTATAAGCTTTTCGAATGATTTGGTATATGGTGGCATATAAATAATAATAATATGTGATTAAATAATGCAATTATCAGTAGGGACACTTTCTAAACTGATAGAGATCCATATTGGCATTTTCTGTCTCCAATTGACTAGTTACATTTATAAGGAACATTCATTTAAGTGGCTAGAAATAAAATGAGTTCCACACATCCATCCTTTTTATTCTATTTGACATTTAGGCCACTACCTTTGCTTTCTGTAGCTTAGAATATTTCAATAATTGATGTGATAACCTTAAAGGACCACTATAGTGCCAGGAAAACATACTCGTTTTCCTGGCACTATAGTGCCCTGAGGGTACCCCCACCCTCAGGGTCCCCCTCCCGCCCGGCTCTGGAAGGGAGAAAGGGGTAAAAACTTACCTTTTTCCAGCGCTGGGCGGAGAGCTCTCCTCCTCCTCTCCGCCTCCGTTACGCCCCGCCGGCTGAATGCGCACGCGCGGCAAGAGCTGCGCGCGCATTCAGCCGGTCTCATAGGAAAGCATTTACAATGCTTTCCTATGGATGCTGGCGTGCTCTCACTGTGAAAATCACAGTGAGAAGCACGCAAGCGCCTCTAGTGGCTGTCAATGAGACAGCCACTAGAGGATTAGGGGGAAGGCTTAACTCATTAATAAACATAGCAGTTTCTCTGAAACTGCTATGTTTATTAAAAAATGGGTTAACCCTAGCTGGACCTGGCACCCAGACCACTTCATTAAGCTGAAGTGGTCTGGGTGCCTAGAGTGGTCCTTTAATTTCTCATCACTCCTAGTATACATTGTCCTACTTGCTTTTCAATGAGCTGTGTGCTTTCTGTCTATCTTATTATTTTCTTGCAATTATGGGTTTCTAAATTAGCTCTCTTATATTTATATTTTAATAAAATATAGGTCTGACTGGTTTTACTGTTAGGAATGGAGTGGAGAACTTACTCAACTTTAAAATATATATATTTTTAAATCTTTTAAAACTTTGTCAGTGCAATCCTACTTGGACTCATTCTATTGTTCAGATTATCATATTTCTATGTCTATTTTTTTGTTATTGACTGTTTTCATCCATGTTTTTCCTTTTCTTGCTGTGTATTTCAGCAACATTCTCTAAAAAGATCTTTTTTCCCATGTAGGATGTCCCGGAAGGACAGGCCTCGGAGGATTTTGTTGGACGTCCGTTGATGCATCTTTCAGCATTGAAACAGGCGACAGGAGAGGCTGTCTATTGTGATGATATTCCCCACTATGAAAACGAACTCTACTTAGGCCTGATACTGAGCACCAAAGCACACGCTAAGATCATGTAAGGGTCCCAAGACGGAAATGTACTGAGATCCAATGTCTACTGACTGATTTACTAATGAATGTACAGATTAGTATTTCACAGGGTATACTATAATAACACATGGGTTGATTGAGGCATGTTGTCTGACAGTGCTACAATGTCAAGAAGTATTCACAAACTGAGATTGTTTAACCTACAATAAGTTTAAAGAAAACCTATAGTCTCGAAAATAATATTTGTTTTTTCACGACTATTTTTTATTACCTTGACCTTTGTCCACCAGCTTGTATGTCAAAAAATTCCATTTGCATATATTTTACTTACCTTGTCCCCAGTCCAGAGACACTGGTGTTGCAGACACCCTATTGGCCTCCCACAATGGCACGCTAACTCCTCCTATTCTCGTCCAATCCAATGCTTCTCATAGAGCAGCATTGAGGATGAGAAGTACTTGCGCAGTGAGCGCAACACTCTTCCACTCAAGTACTCTCTGTGAGAAGCATCAGAGGAGGTGAGTTGGGAGAATCGAGTCTAACTCGGTTCTCACAGTGGGAAGCGCCTCTAGTGGCAGTTAGGAAAATTAACCTGCATTGAAAACATTGCCTATAGTTTTCATTTAATCCATTTTCCATGTGTAATAAAGTATTTTAATAATAATAATAAAAAATTACTAAACACATATACCTTTATAAATAACTTGACTGGGCTCTTAGCAGGGGATTGTGATTGATATACACAATTACACATGAGGTTTTAGCCTGCCATTTATCATTTATAGCTGCTTACAATGATAGTTTGTTACTCTTTCCATCTATAAATATGAAAAATTAAAAAAAGGCTTTCCAAGGTCTGTGAGGCATTTATATGTATATATGTTTTATTCATGGAGGAAGCCAATGGGTTCTCTGTACTTACATACACAGCACACTCAGCATGTATCAGTTATTTTCCGGTCACTTTCAGTGCGGGCCATCATGCTGTTCAAGTGTTAATTAAAACTCCTGTAGCTCACAGAGAGACCTTACTCACTAGGCTCAGCATTTATGCCAGTAACAGTTACTTTGGAGTTGTTTAACCATTTAGTGAGTGTGTTTAGTTTCCTTTCTTATGGAGCTCAACCATTGGCCTCTTTACAAACTGACTTTGCAGCAACTTTGTGCCTGTTAGATAATATCAGTTTCTTGTTAGTTTCATATGAATATCAGTTATGGCGTTACTGTGGTGGGACCGCTGCCTGTGCGTGAATTGCTGTATTATATTCTGTGTGTTTTCTTGTTAGTTTCATATGAATGTACCTGCTCCCCGTTCGGAAGGTCCATTCACCTCCTGAAAGGGGACCACCCTGATAACTCATTTAGGATGTTGGTTTAGAACGTTCGCACCTCGTTATGAGGTGTCAAAACCACAAACCGCATGGAAAGCCTGGGCGCGTGCCTCCCCTGGGTGGCGGCCCATTCGTTATACGAACGCCGTCCAGGGGGCGTATTCGCGGATTGCTTCCCACCTCGTTCGGTTCCCAAACAAGGACCTCCCCAGTGCCTTTTGGAATGTTCACACCAAGTAATTAGAATGTTGGCAACTTGCAACATAAGTGTGAAACCGCAAGGGATGTAATTAATGAGTGCTCCCCTGGGTGGCTGCCGTTCGTATAGACGGGCGGTAGCCAGGGGGAGCATTTGTGTCCCGAAAGGAGATGCTTCCCTTGCTTGGTTTCACCCAGGGACCCTGCAAACGGAGGCTGTTCATGGTGATTACCGTTCTGAGGGGTCCCTGAGATTGGTGGGGACACCCTTTGGGGACACTGGCGGTTTGGTGGGCTTTCTGTAACTGGGAGTCCAGGAGGCGGGAAGCTTTCCCACGTTGGGGCTCCCAGGTACAGAGGCTCATGGGATGAAGACCCCCTGGTCACCGCAGGTGGGAATCCCTGAGGATGGGTGGCGTGAACAGGGGACAAAGGGACTGGAGTTTGGTTTCCGTCAGGAGACCCCTGGAAGGGAGAGGGCCCTGGGAGGGGACACTGAGTGGCGGGAACAGGTGACAAAGGGACTGGGGTTCCGGATTCGTTAAACGCCCCTGGGAGGGAACATTGTCTTTGTGTGTGATCCACCTCTTGCATGGGGAAAAGTATAAAGCCGAATGTGGCCAATAGAGTTGTTGTTGTACCCCCAGTACTGCGTGTCGTCCGTTTACTGAGTGGGAAATGGGTCTTTCTGTATTATAACTGACTCCCTTCAAGGGAAGGACATGGCTGAGCAGGGACAAACAGCCGGGTTGCTAGCAGGCCCACTACAGTTACTTTGTTAAAAAAAAAAAAAACCAATAAGTGAATCAAAGAGTAAGTCACATTGATGATCTGCAGTGTTATTGGCAGCTAATTGTCATTTATTGCAATCATTCTTCCCATAAAGCTCCATTGACATAGCTGAAGCCGAGCGTTCTCCGGGGGTTGTCCGCCTGCTGTTTGCTAAAGACGTTACTGGGAGCAATATCACTGGAATTGGACATGATGAGACTGTATTTGCCGATGGTGTGGTAGGTACAGTACATAGTTGTAATTTTATACAATGTATCACGACATGGGAACGTTACTACTTTTATATTAAGTTATGACTAAAATTTTGAATAACCCACGCCCAAATTCTAAGTCTTTAATACTTATAGGGGTGGTAGTACACTCATAGGGTTCAAGACAAACTTCTCCAGCGCCCCCATGCTTAGTGCCCTTGTCCATGGTACCTCAAAGTGTGGTAACCCCACGTGGGTATCTGACGTCTTTGAGGGAGAACTTGTCTTGATGTTCCCTCCTTTGACCATCCCTACTATCGCCTGGCAGAGGGTTCAGTCTGCCCCACAGTAGAGAATTAATGCAAAGCACGACTTAATTTGCTTTTTTTTTTTAACAGTTTTAAAAATGTTTTGTATGAATGTTCTGTGTTATCAGCAGTTTATGTTGGTTCCCTTTTGCCCTAGAGTCCTGCCCCTCTGGTTGTTATAGTATTTAGTATTGTGTCATTGGCTACCTTGCAAGCTCCGTTCCAATGCTTTCCTTTGGTTGTTCATGCAGGTGACCTGTGTTGGACACATTATAGGTGGAGTGGTCGCCGACACTCAGATGAACGCACAGAGGGCAGCGAAGGCGGTGAAGGTTTTATATGAAGACCTCCCAGCTATTATAACTCTACAGGTACATTCTTTGCACAGACAGTATGATGTAGTCTGTTTATCATGATTCTGTTCTAAAAGTTCCATTTCACAGTGATAAATAATTAAGCTTACCATAAAACGTAGAACCAGTTATCTGCTGCAGTAGCCTTCTTCATGTAGACATACTTTTTTATAAGCACACTTTTAAAGCCTTACAATATTTCAATCCTCTAGCAAGCGATTGAAAAGGAATCATATTATCAGCCAATCAAGCAGATGGAAAACGGAGACCTCGGGTGTGGATTTCAGGAAGCCGATCATATCCACGAAGGTGAAAATAACCGCTAATCACCTTGTTGTATTCACTATGTGGAATCCTGCTATATTTTTTGTAATGTAATTACATTCTTTTAATTAATTCCTAGACTTTGCTTCAGAATTTTCGGAACAATATTCTGCCTGTGACTAGATGCCCTGAGCAACTTCTCTTTGTTTGTAAAAGTAGACTTTTTATGTAAATACAACTGATGCTAGCCAATCAGAGGTCATCAAGAAGGCCATCTGCATAAAGAGCCTATGATGTAGCAGAAAAACCAAAAACCAAAAACCAAAACCCAGATTAAAACCCAGATCATGGCAGGTCCACGTTAAAGTCCCCATGCTCTATATTTTTATTTTGAGACAGCTCCCACATGTCAACAATAAATAATAATCTTTGCCTCTAAGTATATCTGAAAATTAGATTATCATCTATAACATTTTCCTTGTAATAAAAAAAACAGGTGCATATTATAAAAAGCCTTTGTAACCTTACCATCTGCCAGGGGCAGCCCAGGGCACTGTATTTGAGAGGAACGGAATTGTTAGTGACAGGGAAATTCGGCAGCTTCCCAAGATAAAGCGTGCGACAGGAGCACTGTTAGCATCAGGCCATCCTCAGAATCTGCCTAGTGGTGGGATTGGCATATCTTACTTATTGGGGTTCAAGGAGGGTATATAGGCCTGGGTTTAGAATTTTTTTAATAAGTGTTTTTAAATTATTTAATATGTTAAAATATATATTTGATATTTTTGATATGTTGACATATTTTTTATATGATATATATTTTTTTATTGTAACATTTTGAAAAATAATTTAAAAAGTTTATCGAAAAAATATTAACTCAAGGCAATAATAATCACGGCATGTTTTGTTCTTGCTCTCAATATAGAGAGATAATGTACGCAATTCTCACTTGTTTTGCATTTTCTGTAATTTGGCCTCTCTCAAGCTACTGGCAAGCCAGAACGCCTTAAGGACTGGTAATACATGTCTATCCTTTATTCTTTCACTTTCTAGAAGATAGGATAGACTACTATCATTCTTCACAGTTTTAGAGGGACTAATTTGGCCACCTGCTCCATACCTTGTTTCAGTTTGGTGTTTATTCAGAATTAGGCTCCCAATTTGGGTAATAGGATTTTTGGGGATATCATCCGAAGTGCCTTGTATGATTTTTGCGAATTTGCTGACACTCTTCAGTATTAGTTTGGTTTTATTCTGTTTAGTTACCAAATAACTAATAGAAATGATGGGAAGAGTCAGATTAAAAGTAAAAAAAATATTACTTGTCATATAAAGGTAACTCCATTAGTTTATTTGTCAGCTACAAAATAATCTGTAAAAGAAGACGCCATGGGCTAAAACTCACATGTTCCTCAGCCATCCAAAGATTATCAGATACGGTTATTCGCTAAAGTGAGATTTGTCAGAAATTTGAATTGAATTCAAGGTGGATTTAAAATATAAGGTAAAAGTAGCCAAAATTGTCCAAGCCAGGTATGCCCCTATTTTGGCTACTTTGGACTTACATTTGAAATCACTTGGGATTTTTAGTAAGTCTTACTTAGTAAATAAACCTGCAAGAGTCACAGGGTATTAAGTCAAAGAAGGTTTTTTTCCCTCTTACTTCACCTCCCACTTAGTCGTATCTGTGTGATGTTTGGTTTTATAGGTGAGATTTATATCGGGGGCCAAGAACACTTCTACCTAGAAACAAACTGTACTATCGCAGTGCCCAAGGGAGAGGACGGGGAGATGGAGCTATTTGTCTCAACGCAGAATACAACCAAGACACAGGTGAAAAACGATCAGTTCCATGTTTCTGTGTGGCAGCATATGTACATACATATACACATACATTCACATACAAAAAAAATTACACAAATTCTAACACACACAAACATATACACTTCTTCAAACACACACACACACACGCAAATACTGAAAACCAAAACATATACACATACAGTAATAAACACCTAACACAGACGCAAACACACACATAGAAACATACATATTATATCACACAAGCATACATACATAGAAACTAGACATGTACATTTGTTATCAGACGAATATGATTTTGTCTGAATTTTTAAACTTTTTCGTATTCATTTACTATAACAAACGAAAGTCCTACATACAAATTACATACAAAACGAAAGGGCAAATGCCGAATGCATTACCTTTTCGTTTAAGTTAGTTTAGTTTATTACAAGGAGGGAGCTATCGGCTCGTGGCTCCCTCCTTGTAATATGTGAAAATAGAAGCAGCAGGGAACAGTACTATTGTCTCCCCCTCCGTTGGCCGCCACCCTTGAGCAGCGGATGGGGGACCCTAAGTAACAATGGGGGGGACCTATTGTCTCACCCCTGGCCCCCACCCATGAGCGGCGGGTGGGGGCAGGGCCGGCGCGTCTATAAGGCGGCACAAGCTTTGGGGCGCACCAGCCCGGGGGGGCTCTAGATTGGAGTGGGCATACAGCACTCCTTCCTGCCAGGCACTCTGTGTAGTGTGGCCGAGCGGAGCAGCGCACACTGCGGTACAGGAACTTCTTATTTCTGTACCTGGCAGACACTGAGAAAGCACTTCCTGTCAGTCAGGCTGGGTACAGGAAACTGAAGCTCCTGTACCGCTGTCTGCTCCGCTCGGCTGGAGGGGCTGGAGAAGAGGAAAAAGAGACATGGAGGCGCTGAGGGGAGTAGACGGGCTAGTGGTTTAAAGAGAAACTCACAAAGGAGCTGGTAAGAGTAAAAGATACAAAGGGTCTGGGAAAGAAGGAGACATAGAGGCTGGGGGGAGTAAGAAACACAAAGGAAATGGTTTTCTCATTCTTGTAAATTGGTATTTTTGAAGAAATCCCTTGCCTATTTTTCTCACTTGGTTCACATTGGACAGCCACTTTTACGGACCTTTGGTCAGATTGTCAGTTATCTGACCCAATGCTTACAATTCTTGTAATCATCTATTGCATTTCAAAATCATGTGGATCTTTCTGCCTACAGCATTTTCTGTAATTTGAGCATTGGGTCAGATGATTGACAGTCTGACAAAAGGTGCATAAAGATTGCTGTCAGGAAGGGGGAATGGGAAAGGCAGGCAAAGGATTTCTGAAAAATTTGAATAGTCACAAATTAAAAATATAGTAAGATGGTAAATGATAACATAGATATTATAGTAAAATATAAAAAATAGCTTAAATATTACTTTGCCGATGAGATAGTAAATACCTGGAGAAGCAGTCAAGTGGATGAATTAAATAAAAATATAGGGCAGGGATAGGCAACCTTTTAGCAGCACTGTGCCGATATAGGATGGTGATGTCCCGTAGCGTGCCGGTCCTATTTTTTTAAATTGAGGTGTGTATGCTGTCGTATTCTACTTGTGTTGTTTTTGCTGTAATTGCTTTGTATCGTTGTATTTGTGCGTATATGAACTATTATATTGTATATGTTCATTAGTAGTTTATGGTATTGTGTATGATACATATGAATGTGGGCTGTGTATGAGGGCTGCTTGTGGAATTGTGTGTGGATGGATATGTCACATTGTGTGTTTGGTAGTGTGTGTGGGCTGTTTTTGGTATTGCATGTGAGAGGCTGCATGTGGGGTTGTGTGCATGTATGTGGATTGCTAGCGGGTTACATTTGTGCGGATTGTGTGTATGTTTATGTATGGGCTGTTCATATTATTTGTATGATGGGAGGGTTATTCTGCATTTTTGTGTATATCTTGCAGTGTGTGTGGCTTCCCTGGGTTCCAGTGGGGACCAGGCTGGCCAGATATAGGTTTAAGGACAGGAGCTGCAACAGCAGCTGCGGGCTGCTCTACTACAGTGTGCATTCCCATTCACAAGTGCTGGGAGGAAGTGATCTGCGATCACTTCCTCTATGTACTGCAATGCTTAAATTGAGGATTGTCCTTCACCACCTCTTTGTATTAGCAGATATATGAAGTTTTACTGGGAATCCTGATAGGCCAGTTTGGCTCTAGCATCCTTGAGTGCCGTGCAAATACACCTTAAGTGCCGTGCATGGTATTAGTGCCGTAGGTTGCCTACCCCTGATATAGTGTGAAGTGTAAAGGGGTAGATTAGATAGGGTCTAAGTGGATTTGATCTGACTTTCCCAAAAAATATTACTACAAAGTTTTACTTTTAAAGCCCAAATTGACTAGTTGCTCATAAACAGAGCAAAGGCCAGGGGGGAGACCTAATGCGAATGCCTGGCAATTCAATGCTTTTCTATAGGAAAAAGAATCTGTCACTGGAGGTCCGTGAGGACGTCCAGCGTCAGATAACGGACCAAAAGCCAGTTTGGATTCCGGAAGCCCTCTACTGGCTGCATGTTAGACATTGTTTTACATTGCAGCACTAAGTGCAAAAGGGTCACAGCACCCAGACTATTTCAATTAGCTGAAGTGGTCTGGGTGCCTACAGTGTCCCTTTAATTGTTCAGATCCTACATAGTATTTCCTCAATTTATCCTCTTCAAAGATACATTTCTCTTGGCTACTGTCTGGCCCTCTATTCATTCCATACCTGCATGTCTAATATTTAACTTTTCTCGTTGTTCTGTCTGTAAATGGTCATTTGTACATAATCATTAATCGTCATAAAGAGCTCTGGACAGGGATGGTTATAATTGTTAGTTGAATAAATAATTAATTCACACTGTTTCCTTAATTCTAATTAATAAATACCAATTACAAATTGTGTTTCTTCCCAAATATTAGTCGTTTGCTGCAGATGCCATTGGCGTCCCGTCCAGTAGGATTGTGGTTCGAGTTAAGAGAATGGGTGGAGGGTTTGGAGGAAAGGAGTCCCGGAGTACCATTATATCAACTGCAGTGGCTGTGGCTGCGCACACGTAAGCCATAACACTTTGCTATCTTTAAACTGAATATCTCAACTTTAAAGTGCCAGAATAGATTTTCTTGTTTAAAAAAATATATATATATATAATTAATTCAGTAGTATTGTCACTTGATGCTCCTCTTTCTTTTTACGAAGGGAACAACCATTTCCCTCTCCAGTCTGTCTTCAGTATGGTAAATGGGGCTAAGCAAATCCATGGTTCTGGAGCTCCTGTCTAACTCATGTACCCTCGGAGGCCGCCCAGTGACGGCTGATGCACAAGAGGGGATCAAAGGAAGATCTTGTGAGACCGCAGATTCTCTCATGGATCTTCTTGCACATTCACAATTAGATGTGTGTTACCATCCACTGTCGTAGTGCAACTTAAAATAATGTGATTTTTACTTTTTTGGTCTTTGCGACCTTGATATTGGAGAATACACAGTGGATAAGCTAACTATTGTATCTATGTAGCATTGCTTTCTGTTTTGCTGTTTTCTTTTTCTTTTTCTTTTTTTATTACAAGGTTCGGGAGGTTATCTAATTTCTTCTAAATGTCACTAAACCCTCGAGAGGTGCTCAGATTTTCTTGCTGGCCTTTATTTGCTCCTGCCATCTCAAATCGCTTTTTTCCTATCCGTTTAGTTTTTTGTGTTTTTTTTGTTGTTGTTGTTGTTTAGTAAGTATATTTCGTACAGTAATATTAATGTTTTTTATGGAGCACAATTAAGTGAGTTTCCATTAGGGTTGGGTATGATGAGGTTGCTGCATGGCGCTGGAGATTATCAGTAGACATGTACAATTTGTTTCGTTCCGAATGTAAATTCGTCCGAATTTCGGCAATTCGGACATTTGGATGCTTCTGAATTGCCAAAGTCCCGAATTGCCGAAGTGCCGAATTTCGGAAGTGCCAAAGTGCTTCGGATTTCTGAAATGTGGCAAAACAAGAGAGGTATGGAAAATTACATGAATGATCGATCAATAAGCTAATTCCTGGCACTGGGAGCCCTATAGATGTGTAAGTGGTTGTAGTGCCACTACAGGCACCTAACCCTACCCCTAATCCTAACTTTAACCCTACCCTAAGCCTACCCTACTCCTAACCCTACCCCTAACCCTACCCTAACTCTTACCCTACCCTACCCTAACACTAACTCTAACCCTACCCTAACCCTACTCCTGCCCCTACCCCTACCCCTAACCCTACCCTAAACTAACCCTACCCTAACCCTAACCTTACCCTAGCTCTAACAATAATAAGAAAATATATTTCAAAATATGGAAACCAAGGATAAATCTTTGGCTAATGAAACGAGGGGTCATATGATATATATTCAACATATCTAACTGTTTTATTTTAAGCTGGATGCTCCACCGCCATGCAGTAACTGAAACTCAATATATCTCATTTAACTTAACATAATTTCCTAGGTCCTAACTTAACTTTATTGAATCCTGTTTGGGCTCTTTTTTCTATATTGTATAGGACCAGGGGAACTAATTGATTATTACGTGCTTAATAAAAAGTCGATGTGTGGCACATAAACTCATTACCCCAGTATAATCGGGGCTTTTCTTTTTTTTTTCTTGCGTACTGCCATTTAGTAAGCCTCTTTTTAGAACTGCCTAAAATGTTCTCCCTTTTTTTTGTGTGTGTGTTCTTTTTGTTGTTTAATTAGCTTTATGAGTAATTATGGTTATTAGAATCTGTCTACTTAAAGTTTATGATTAGAGTTCAAGAAGTACCTTAACTGTTATGTAATAACTCCTGATGGAATATTAAAGCTCAAATGTATTAGCTGTAATCTGTCATATAAAAAAATAAATAATAAAAAATATATAATGTGATTAAATTAGTAGACAGGTTAGCGTAAAGAGCGATATTTCTATAGGACTGTGTATTTTTTTCAAACAGGACTGGTCGGCCAGTGAGATGTATGTTGGATCGAGATGAAGACATGCTTATAACGGGTGGACGACACCCCTACCTGGGACACTATAAGGTACGCTTACAGCGTTAGTTACTAAAGGTAGAATTACTGGGAATTCAAAGTGAATGTCAGCTTAAAAGGAAATATTATCTTAGTCGGATATGCTTCTAGTTCAGCTATTTTATCTAAAATGTTAAATTCACACTGAATTCACGACAATTCCCCTTTTAGTAAGTAACCCTGTTTCTCTATGTGTTGTGTTTTTATAACTGTTTCCTTCGTCTTAAATGTTTCAAAAGGAAGTTCTAAAGAAATCTGAAAACTGAAACATCTATTTGTAACCCTTCTGCATAAAACCTAAATAAACTGTCATGATATTGCATTGATATTTCTCATCCCTTTTTGTAAACTAGTTCAATTATCACATGTTGCTAATATTTTAACAAATTAACCATTTGTAAACGCAAGATGTCTAAAACGCAAATCGGAACTTTCATGTAAGCTTGGCTTTCAAGTCTTTAATGCATTTTAGGTTCAGAATTTCTTGGTAGCCAACAGGTAGGAATTGTAGCTCAGAAGTAACTGGATTTATTTAATTTATTTTTATTTTGTTTCAATTTCACCCAGATATTGCATCAGGGCTTCTACTTCTTATACTGACTTCTGCCCCTCGCTAACTAGTTATTCAGTAAAGTGAGAATTGCATGTGAATTTTACATTTAAAGCCAGAGTAGCCAAACTAAAATCCCAGCTGACTTTTTCCAATTTGGCTATTTTGACCTTAAATGTAAAATTCTCGTAGAATTCCCGCTTTAGACTAACCTTGTAAGTAATCGCCAGGTTAACAGTCCCTCCATCGAAAAAACCTGTGCAATATTTATGTAATTTACTAACATGTGCGTACCTCCCCACTCCAGCGATTAATGATGTGCTCGCACTATGCTTGTTAAGGATAGTTTCTTGGGGCCCCTAAAAGTGAGACACCAGGGAACTAAGTTGGCATGGCGGGACAGGACCATCAAATCAGGGCTGTCCTGCCGAAATCAGGACAGTTGGGAGGCATGTATGTGTAAAGTCTCTCTCTCGGTTATGTATCTAGACTCTGTAATATAGATCTGTAATATAGATCATTAAACTTCCTGAACCTATCGCAGCTTAGCACATCAAGCCAAACCACCTTATTATATCACCCAGTGATGGACGTTGTATGTCTTAACCAAACTTCTATCACGGCAGGTTGGATTCATGAAAAGTGGGAAAGTGACTGCTTTAGAGGTATCTTTCTACTCAAATGCTGGCAACACGTTGGATCTCTCGGAAGCGGTAAGCTTATCAGAGTATAACCCTAATATCTATAAAGCTGTCCTGATAATACTAGAGGAAACAAGGGGTATTTTCATTTAGCCATGGACCCTCTGTTCACATACTTCATGGTTGTCTAATGATACGTCATCACAGTCATCTTTTCACCCAATTCGTTATGTCGCTCAGTGGTGGGTTCCAGAATTTGACATAAATATACAAAGTTGTAATTTATCACTGTGCCAGGGTATTAAGTCATACCCGGTGGGTCTCATAATATGACATCATATATCTCAATCACTGCAGTCTGGTAAAGTGACAGAGATCTTTCCCTCAAGACCACCAACTCTTCCATCTATTATCTTTATGGTTATCACTAAACTACAGAGAAAACTTTAAGTGGTTCTGACATGTTTTATATTCTTTTGTGTTTCCTTCCCTATGCCCCGTGTACCTTAATTATTATACTCCCCTACTTTCCACTTGCTTTGTCTCGATACCTGGAACATCCATTTTATTTTACTCGGCCATGATGTCTGCTGTTTATGCTACTTTAAGAGTTGATTTTACTAATGGATTGTGGGTAAATTTGATTGGCATCTGACTCAGAACCTTTGTTAGGCTCTGGCCATTGTCAAGTTCTGTATGCCAAAAAGAGATCGTTCAGAATGGTACTTTTATTCAGATATCTTCCCCAGCTTTGTATTCAGTCTCATTGTAATATGATAAAAGAGAGACAAAGTGCTACAATATATATTAAAAACAAGATAAAGTGCAAAAAACAGATTTATTCACTTCCACATAAGTATACAACAGCAGGTGTAGTATGTGTCCACAAGTCCTACGCGCTCCAACCCACCAGGGACTTCCTCGGGGCAGTTCTGTTGTGCATAATAATCCAACATGGATATAGGATCAGTAACTGTTTTTATTTATACGTTGTCAAAGTCTATCGGCTTGGCTGCTATATATACAGAAGTAGTCCCTATATTTCTTAATGTATTTATTGACAACAAGAAATTCAGACAAAGGATTTGCTATATGGAAGCTGATAAGAAAAGGTTTATTTTGATAACAAAGGTACTTTAAATTTATCAACAGCAACTGCAGTGTAAGACTTTTTTTTATTTAGAAACAGCTACAGCTTTTAAATGGGTAGCTTACGGTAACATGGATGGTGTTTGTTTTCATACAGGTAATGGATAGAACTTTATTTCACATGACCAATTCCTACAAAATTCCAAACATTAGAGGCACGGGATACGTTTGTAGGACTAACTTACCTTCTAACACGGCATTCCGCGGCTTCGGGGGACCTCAGGCGATGATGATTGCAGAATGTTGGATGAATGACGTTGCCCAGATATGCAGTTTGCCACCAGAAGATGTAAGTCATATAAATGGAGGCTCATCGATGTCACATCCTAAACGGCTAAAATAATATGACATTTTCACTCACTAAATTGGGAGTTATTAAGGACTTGATCATTGCAAATTTTAGGCAAAATAGTTTATCTGTAAATTGAAGTTGGAGAATTGGGTTATTTTTTCATGAAATTTGCAATTTTCTGGTCATGTCTCTGCTATAAACCCCATAGTGTTTAGGAGTTTTCAAATGAATATTCAATTAATCATTAACTCCATTTGGCACTAAGCAATGTGCACTGTTTGCCATTTAAACTCGGATGTGTTTCTGGACTTTGGGGAACACATTTTGGAAAGTCCTGCCACGTGTGATTTCTATTCTTCATTTCAGTTCTTCAAATGTTTAATATAAAATAAATAGAAGCCGTGACAGTATTGTTTCTTTTATATGGATTGTAGAGTTTCTTTTAAATAATCTCTTTCCAATTTACAATTTACATAGCATTGAAACCAAAGAATAACGTTCAAACTGAAACAAAAAGAGTGACAAATTCTAATTATCTGAAGGAAGAATAGAAAAATGATATACTTATTGATTGTGCTACATGTAACTATTACTAGCAGAATAGTACTGGATTTTATATTTTTTGGGGCCCGCTGGTAAACATGATATGTGAGATGCTAATATAAAGATTAATTTGGTCAGTAAACACAGACGCATTACTCCAGAAAACCTACTTTTTAGATATAAAGCAGGACCTAGATCAGGCATAGGCAACCTTCGGCACTCCAGATGTTTTGGACTATACCTCCCATGATGCTTTGCCAGCATTATGGGTGTGAGAGCATTATGGGGGATGTAGTCCACAACATCTGGAGTGCCGAAGGTTGCCTATCCCTGGCCTAGGTAGTCACTGGTGGTGCAAATACTGCTTTATTGAAACTCTTCTAAAACTAATTGGGTAATCCCCAGATTATACATGCATGGCTTTTCTTTCCTGGGGATGCTAGCCTGTATTGAATATCGGTTTTAATTTGTACAGATTGTATTAAATTATTGTTTTAGATTGTTTTCCCCTAGTTAAAGGAGCACTATAGTGCCAGGAAAACAAACTTGTTTTACTGGCACTATAGGGTCATTAGGCTGTCAGCCACTTACCTTTCTCCAGCGCCAGGCTCCCTCTGTGCTGGGGAGCACTCCACCCCCTGCCGACGTCAGATCCGAATGCGCATGCCCGCACGCGTTCAAACAGCCCATATGAAAGCATTACTCAATGATTTCCTATGGATGTCCAGCGTCTTCTCACTGTGATTTTCACAGTGAGAATCGTGGAAGCGCCTCTAGCGGCTGTCAGTGAGACAGCTACTAGAGACTGGATTAACCCTCAGTGAAACATAGCCATTTCTCTGAAACGGCTATGTTTTCAGCTGCAGGGTTAACACTAGAGGGACCTGGCACCCAGACCACTTCATTGAGCTGAAGTGGTCTGGGTGCCTATAGCGGTCCTTTAAGACGGTACCAACATAATTTATTCACATACATAAACTTCCACTCGTATTAAAATCAAACAACATTATTTTTGGGAAATAATTCATTGACATTTTATTTCAGCAATCTGCATTTGACGTCTTTTTAATTTAAGGTGAGAAAGTTGAACTTGTTCAATGAAGGAGACCTGACCCATTACAATCAAAAGTTGGAAGGTTTCACTGTACACAGGTGCTGGGACGAATGTCTAAAAAACTCTGACTATCACAAGAGGAAGCTTTCAATAGAAGAGTTTAACAGGTGATAATCGGACATTACTTAACACGTTATCTGTATAAGACTCCACAGGTAAAGCCGAATAGATTTATACATTCGGTGTGGGTTAAACGAAATTGATTCAGACAAACCACTTCAAACCAAGTTTTGCACAAGTTTATTGACAACTAAATGTCTCCAGTTCCTCAACACTATTTATATGTTTTATTTAGCGTTCTGAAAATATTTATCAAATTAATTAAGAAACACTTGCTGGTTTATTTATTAATCGTGGAATTGTGGAGAAATGACAACGTAAATTGCAAATTTCAGGCCAAAGTAGTCAAGGTGACAAAAATAGCCAAGATGTGAATTTTTCCCAAACGAGGTATTTTAACCTAAGTGGTGGAATACCTTGATGATTCCTTTGGCAATTCTGTACAATTCCCCCAGCTCAGTGTATAAACTCCCAAATGTGAGGGGAGCATCACTTTACATCGGGGATCGTATCTCAACTACGGACGGTCAATTTTTAAATTGATGGCATATTTTTCTAAAAAAACAGTATTTTTTTAATTAAAGGTTTACTCCAAGCATCAGGACCCCTTCAGTAGTCATAGTACTCCTGGCAACATATCTACATACCGGGCTGTAGCAGATATGATTCCTGGAGTAACCCTTTAAGGAGGTAATCTTAAATTGGTTCATTATTTCTTTAAATTCGGAACAGTATCTCTTTGTAATAGTGGAAAGAAAGAAATGGAAGAAATGCCAAGAATTATCGAAGTAGCTTTTTTGGTGTCTCTTATAAATCATTAGAGGACATGTATAGAATTCCGTCCGTGTGTCTGTCTGTATAACGATTGTTTTGTTGCAGGCAGCACCGCTGGAAGAAGAGAGGTATTGCCATTACTCCCACAATGTTCGGAATAAGTTTTACTCTTACCTTACTGAACCAGGTTTGCTAACATTTTCCTTCTTTATCTACTGAATGTATATTTGTACATTATAAATGTGTCCAGGTATCCACCCACCACACTTTACTCATAAATCAGCTTAATTAAACAGCACTATACTTTGTAATTTTCCTCTACACAGCTTCCCTTAGTTTGATTAAGCCTATACGTATGTTACAGACAGACAGACAGGTAGGTAGGTAGATGATAGATGGTAGGTAGGTAGATGGTAGGTAGGTAGGTCGGTAGATGGTAGGTAGGTAGATGTTAGATGGTAGGTAGGTAGATGGTAGGTAGGTAGGTCGGTAGATGGTAGGTAGGTAGGTAGGTAGATGGTAGGTAGGTAGATAGATGGTAGGTAGGTAGCTAGATAGATAGATAGTTGGTAGATAGGTAGATAGATGGTAGGTAGATAGATAGATAGATCAATCTTCTGAAGGGCAGGAATGATAATGAGGCACTAGACTTCACCCTTACAATTTGACTCTGTCCCCTGACTTTTTGCACTCTATCTGTATATTTAACCTCTGACCTAATGAGCGGTTGGAACATTTTCAACTCCTCAATCTATATATAGGTGTATTTAGTACAACACTAAGTTTAAAGGGGTCAGACTTCACTCCATGACTACCCAATCATTTTAGAAAACAGGACAGTACAGGCCAATCTTGGTTGTTTGCTTTTATAATATGCATTCAGCAAATAGGTGATGGTACCCCTTTACTAGTGCAAATGTCAGGTTAAAGAAATAAAATATATGGATAAAAATAAACGAACACTTATTTAACGTTTGAAAGTATTAAAACTTACTGTAGATATCTTTTTTGCTATCATAAAATTAAATAAATGTAAAATTTATTTTTTTCCATTCTAAGGACATTTCTGTGTCAGTGGATTCGTACTGTGCGGCTGTTAACATGTGTAATGTTTATTTATTCTTGTTACAGGCCGGAGCGTTGGTCCATGTGTACACGGATGGGTCCGTTTTGCTTACTCACGGGGGGACTGAAATGGGTCAGGGACTTCACACCAAGATGATCCAGGTGTGTAACAGAGATACATTTAATGCATGGTGGCCAAGAGCATGGACTGGTGTTATGATCGTTCTGCCATTGTTACAGCGATAAAGACTGCATCCATCTCTAACCATGCTGAGATTAGATATGAGTATATGTAACTCAGTGTCTGAATTATTGATTGATTAGTTTAAAGGGACAATTGTGGGGATATTTATGGGATAATAATAGTAACAGTGAGAATTGCCCACTAATTCAATTCTCAGATCCCAAAGAACGTTTATCGTGTTAAGTGAAAAGTATTTCATATAAATAATCACAATGTATAAAAATAGATTTTATTTATGATAATCAATAATTAACAAATAATATTATGTAACATGCATGACAATAACCAATGAATATCCAGTACAAAATTATATGCAATACAAAGAAATGGGTATTACGTTACAATGGCTAAATAGCATTTCCTGTCAAGACTTTGACGATTTATGAGGTATCCTTACACAGATTGAAAGTGAAACTTTTCACAGCGAAGAACAGAATTCCTCAAAGTGCAGCGTGAGGTCGTAAAGTTTAGCCGACAGTTAGAATAACCCTTTCAATGCTGGCTAGATCTCCTAGGTAGTTAAGATCTATTCTTATGTAATTTTTAAATAAAATAACATTTAAACCAGTTCATTAGTAATTTTCTTAAAATCATCCAATAAGAGAATTTACCATTATATAAGCAGATTTTTAATTTGTCTAAAAGATATCTATCTTAATTTAGAGCAAATCAATACACCTGGATAAAAACAGCGGTATGCTAACACGTGATAATATCACATCAATATATAATTATTCTTAATTCCACCTGCAGAATGGAATATTTATAACTATATATTCTTAGTTAACTAAGATTTCTTAATATGGAAATCTGACCGTGCTTTATCCAGTCATATATAATGCTATTAATACATTTTAATTAATTTAATTTAATTAAATGAAACCAGTATAATTACCAGTTGAGTAGATATTTCATCCGATTGGTAGTCTCTCTGCATGGAGGTGTTGGTTAGAAAGTCAGTAAATTCTAAGTGTTAGAGTTTTAGGAGTAGAGTGTTAGTCTCAGATGTTGTCCGAGTTGGAGTCCCCAAACTTCCAATTCCTCTCTCCTCTCCTTTGCATATCTTGCATCTGCCTCCTCTCTCGTATATCTCTATCTTCCCTTTGTCTTAACTTTTAAAGGGCCATACTCTCTGTACGTCATCAGTTGATAACCCAATAGAAGCACTAGAGGTGTGGTTATCTTCCAGATCGCAAATTAGTTATTTGGTCTATAGAGGGCAGTCTTGTCCCACTAAACATACCTATCCAGGAAAGAGTTAACTTTTCCTGGTGGCTATTTTGACGTCATTTTGGCCTATCTAGATAGTGGCTATAACTTAAAATTTCAAATGGGTTTCTTAAATTTTGTCCAGACTTAGCGTCTGCAATTCCTGCCATAATTTCTGATATGACAGATCATGAACTAAGTTTACCCTTTTCCATACAATGGTACCTTATATATATAGACAGTTAAATATTAAATTATTTAATCTTCTCTGTCACAATTGTCTGGGTTTAGATTTGATTATATTCTTCTTATCACTTGTTTATACTATGCTATGCATTCCTTAGCTCTGGCAAAGAGGCCAGTCTTACAGAAAGAAATACTGTGTCTCTTTGTTAACTTGAAATAACAAAATGGAGTCTGGTCTGTTCAGAGTGACTCAGAATATACACTTTTAGTTTCTATCATAGCACAAGATGTCTGCCGATATAAATACCCTGACATAATATAGTCAACTACAGTTTAATGTAGTTGTTCTGGTGAATATAATCATTCCCTTCAAGCATTTTCATGCAAACACTGCCTTTTCAGAGAAACATTGCCCCCTAGGGACACCTCCTAGTGGCCACTCCTCAGATGGCCACTGGAAGTGCTTCCTAGGGCAGTGCTGCACATAGGCAGCACTGCTGTTCAGCTTTGCATGGAGACGCTTACTGGCCAAAACTATGTTTGGCCCCACCCCCATCTCACCTCCTTGTCAATTTCAGCCAATGGGAAAGCATTGGATTGGCTGATGTCACCAAGGAGGTGGATCAGGGGCGGGGTCAGCACCGGTGGACAGGACAGGCTCCTGAAATAAGGTGAGTTTTAATCCCTTCCAAGGGAGTTAAGGAGGGACAAGTCACCTAAATTGTGGTTTTAACACTATAAATGTTCACATTTGGCGCCTTAACATGTGAGTGTCAACAGTAGCTCTATCACAGATCTGAGATTGAACTGCGCAAGACTTACTCTGGCATTGGAAACAATATAAATAAATAAAGTGCTGTTATAGGTTATATCTGCACTTGGCATTTCCAGTGTTGCAAATTATTGTTTTTTTATTGTAGGTCGCCAGCAAAACTTTGAAAATACCAACTTCAAAAGTATTTATAAGTGAGACGAGCACCAATACAGTCCCCAATACATCTCCTACTGCTGCATCGGCCAGCTCTGACCTCAACGGGATGGCGGTTTATGTGAGGCTCTCTCTATCTATCAATTAATGAATGTGACGTGTGTGATAAATTATATAGAGATGCTGAAAATGTGCACTTATTGTAAATGGAGGGATGCAAAAGGGCAATATTTAATAGTATTGTTTAATGTATGTGTGTATATATATTTATAGAATGTTTTCTTTAATTGTGCATGTGTATCATAAAGAGGAATACAAAATGTTTTTTTAATTTTTAATTGCATGTAAATGTGTGATCATGGGAGGGCTGGCCAGAGGGGGAAGGGAGGACCAGGCCGCTAGTATACATTATGAAACCATATTCTTTTGTTATTAATGTAATACATTTAATGCAGTATTAGTATAAAAAACTCAATATAAAATGAAGAAAGGGGGCGGAGTGTGGTGAGACAATGGTTCGACCTCAAGATGGCCTTTTTGTTTGTATTGTCCCTCGCCCCACCACCCAGGCCACATGTAGCCAGCAGTGTAATAAGAAAGCACATGGAATATAATAAGTAAATGTCAAGGTGTCAACTATATCATCTCATCCTCAGGGAAGATATACAGTGAGGGAAATTGATTTTTAACGTTTGTCCACTGACATAGAAATGATCAGTGTAATATTTTAATGGTAGGTGTATTTTAACAGTAAGAGACAAATAACCAAAAAAAATAAATAAATCCAGAAAAACGCATGTCAAAAAAGATATACATTGCTTTGCATGTCAATGTGCATGTCAACTTAGTACTTGGTGGCCAAACCCTTGTTGGCAGTCACAGAGGACAGACATTTGTTATAGTTGGCCATTAGGTTTGCATACATCTCAGGGGGGATTTTGTCCCACTCCTCTTTTCAGATCCTCTCCAAGTCTCTTATGGTTTCAAGACAAACGTTTGGCAACTTGAACCTTCAGCTCCCTCCACAGATTTTCTATGGGATTAAGGTCTGGAGCCATAGGAGTGGCTTCTTCTTTAGCCACTCCTATGTTGTAAAGGAGTCATTATCAGACTGGAGCAATTTAACTGGGGTCCAAGAGAAATGGGATTATTTAACAGTTGCACTGCTGAAGGCAACAGAAATTTGCATTAGACTTGTCAGTAAAAGCAAAAAATTCAAGAAACCACTGTGGTACTCTGCAGATGTGGCCAAAATAGTAAAAACCAAAAAATTTGTATTTAGTAATTATAAAAAATCCAGAGTGAGGAAGACAGAATGATTTATAAGATTAGGCAGAAAGAGGCTAAGCATGTTATAAGAGCTTCCAAATCACACACAGAAGAGAAAATAGCACAGTCAGTAAAAAAGGGGGACAAAACATTTTTTAGATACATAAATGAGAAAAGGAAAGTTGTTAGATTAAAAACAAAAGAAGGAAGGTATGTAGAAGAGGATAAAGGTCTAGCTGACTACCTCAATTAATATTTTTGTTCAGTATTTACAGATGAAAATTAAGGAAAAGGACCTCAGTTAGGAAAAAGGACAAATGAGCCATTTATTACACGTGAGTTTACAGAAGATGAGGTTCTATTTCAACTGTCAAAAGTAAAGACAAATAAGTCAATGGGACCTGATGGAATACACCCAAAGTTTTTAAAAGAGCTTAGTGGTGTACTAGAAAAACCATTAACAGATTTATTTAACCAATCATTGTTAACAGGAGTAGTCACAGACGATCTGAAGCTAGCGAATGTTGTGCCCATTCACAAGAAAGGTAATAGGGAGGAGTCGGGCAACTATAGGCTTCAGTAGTGGGGAAAGTGATGGAAACCATGTTAAAGTATAGGATTTTTGAACATCTAAAAACACATGGATTTCAAGATCAGAGACAACATGGGTTTACTTCAGGGAGATCATGCCAAACAAATCTTATTGATTTTTTTGATTGGGTAACTAAAATTATAGATCAGGGTGATGCAGTAGACATTGCTTACCTAGATTTCAGTAAGGCTTTTGACACTGTTACACATAGAAGGCTTATCAATAAATTGCAATCTTTAAGTTTGGATTCCAATATTGTTGAATGGGTAAGGCAGTGGCTGAGTGACAGGCAACAGAGGGTTGTAGTCAATGGAGTATATTCGAAGCTTGGGCTTATCACCAGTGGGGTACCTCAGGGATCTGTACTTGGACCCATTCTCTTTAAGATTTTTATTAGTGATATTGCAGAAGGTCTTGATGGTAAGGTATGTCTTTTTGCTGATGATACTAAGATATGTAACAGGGTTGATGTTCCAGGAGGGATAAGCCAAATGGCAAATAATTTAGGTAAACTAGAAAAATGGTCAGAGTTGTGGCAACTGACATTTAATGTGAATAAGTGCAAGATAATGCATCCCAAGGGCAGGGTACAGAATATTTAAAAGAGTCATAACCGAACATCTGAGGAAAGGGATTTAGGGTGATTATTTCTGATTACTTAAAGGTAGGCAGACAATGTAATAGAGCAGCAGGAAATGCTAGCAGAATGCTTGGTTGTATAGGGAGAGGTATTAACAGTAGAAAGAGGGAAGTGCTCATGCCATTGTACAGAACACTGGTGAGACCTCACTTGGAGTATTGTACACAGTACTGAAGACCGTATCTCCAGAAGGATATCGAGAGAGAGTTCAGAGAAGGGCTACTAAACTGGTTCATAGATTGCAGGATAAAACTTAGAAGGAAAGGTTAAAGGAACTTAACATGTATAGCTTGGAGGAAAGACAAGACAGAGGGGATATGATAGAAACATTTAAATACATAAAGGGAATCAACACAGTAAAGGAGGAGACTATATTTAAAACAAGAAAAACTACCACAACAAGAGGACATAGTCTTAAATTAGAGGGGCAAAGGTTTAAAAATAATATCAGGAAGTATTACTTTACTGAGAGGGTAGTGGATGCATGGAATAGCCTTCCAGCTGAAATGGTAGAGGTTAACACAGTGAAGGAGTTTAAGCATGCGTGGGATAGGCATAAGGTTATCCTAACTATAAGATAAGGCTAGGGACTAATGAAAGTATTTAGAAAATTGGGCAGACTAGATGGGCCGAATGGTTCTTATCTGCCATCACATTCTATGTTTCTATGTTGCCTTGGCTATGTGTTTTGGGTCATTGTCATGCTGGAATACCCATCCATGACCCATTTTCAATGCCCTGGCTGAGGGAAGGAGGTTCTCACCCAAACACGGCGAGTTGAGTTGATGTCAAAGAGCTTGATTTTGGTCTCATCTCACAACAACACTTTCACCCAGTTCTCTGAGTCATTCAGATGTTCATTGGCAAACTTCAGATGGGCCAGTACATGTGCTTTCTTGAGCAGGGGGACCTTGCAGGCTCTGCAGGATTTCAATCCTTCACGGCATAGTGTGTTACCAATTGTTTTCTTGATGCCTATGGTCCCAGCTGCCTTGAGATCATTAAGAAGATCCGCCCGTGTAGTTCTGGGCTTATTCCTTACCGTTCTAGTGATCGTTGAAACTCCACGAGGTGAGATCTTGCATGGAGCACCAGACCGAGGGAGACTGACAGTTATTTTGTGTTTCTTCCATTTGCAAATAATCGCACCAACTGTTGTCACCTTCTCACCAAGCTGCTTGGCGATGGTCTTGTAGCCCATTCCAGCCTTGTGTATGTCTACAATCTTGTCCCTGACATCCTTGGACAGCTCTTTGGTGTTGGCCATGGTAGAGAGTTTGGAATCTGATTAATTGATTGCTTCTATGGACAGGTGTCTTTTATACAGGTAACAAGGTGAGATTAGGAGCACTCCCTTTCAGAGAGTGCTCCTAATCTCAGCTCATTACCTGTATAAAAGACACCTGGAAGCCAGAAATGTTTTTGACATGTGTTTTTCTGGATTTTTATTTTTGTGGTTATTCTGTCTCTTACTGTTAAATTACACCTACCATTAAAATTATAGACTGATCATTTCTTCGTTCAAAATATATATACTTTAATATCAAAAACTTTTTTCCCTCACTGTAAACTCCAATATTCTGTATTAGAGCTAACCCCAAATTTGTTTTAGACCAACCTGACACCTACCCATTTATTGATTAGGTTATTGCCCTACAAAGTCAGCTGTATTAATAATTTTTTCTCCACTTAGAATGCTTGTCAGAAACTCCTGAAACGGTTGGAACCTTATAAACAGTCAAAACCTTCTGGGACATGGGAGGATTGGGTATGTACTTACATATACCTTCACTTGGTCTTGTATAGATGGACGATGCTCTGAAAAAACAGAACCGTCACTTACATCCCTAGATACCTCTCTTAAATGATTTTTGCCGTTATCTGAAGTTCATGCTAAATCCAGACATCACTTACCCCAGAGTGTGCAAGGATATCAGCCTGTCCAAAGGCCAGTAAAATAAATTATTATCGGAACACCCTTGGCTATCCCATATTTGTCATTCATCATTAAGATATATATGATATTCCAAAATATTAACAAACAAGTTACAATATAAGCATGGTTATTTCACTATATCCAACCTTTTAAAAAACTTTTTATTATTGAAATAAAATCTGGCGGAATAATGACCCTTATAGACTTAGCTATACGGTCCTTGGTATTTTTATATGGTAACATTTTCTCGTGTGGGTTTTTGGCTTACTTCTAGGTAATGGCTGCTTACGTGGACAGAGTGAGTCTCTCAGCCTCAGGATTTTTTAAGTATGTGACTAAGTTTGGGTGATTTTAACTATATTGATGAAAATGTTATGTGAATGATATTTAGGATTATTGCTTTTTACTGTTGGATACGAAAGAATTCAGTCTGTCATTACTCAAAGTAGTACAATAATATTAAGCCTTAGAAAGGTTAATTTAACATTGTACATCTATATCTGCTATTTGTTTGGTAAAACCAACAAAGTATGTCATGTGTCCCAATAACCATGCTCTCTTAATTATTTATTAATTATGACCTAGATATGATGATGTCATATCTAGGTGATGTCTTGTCAGCCATAGTTAATGTGGTGTTTGGAGCAAATATATTACAATTATAGACTAGTTTTACAGCAAGCGGCAAAGTATCTTTCTAAATATAGTTCCACAGTAGCCAGAGTGCTACACGTTCAGTAAGATGCTAGCTGGGGCTGCATGGGACATGCCCAAGTGGCCTCAAAATTAGGAAAAATATCTGTCTGGTGTTTGTATATCATAGAGCTGAGGAGATTCCAATCTGAATCTCGATACAATATGGCACATTGTATGATTTCATCCCATGAAAACAAGTTCAGAATATTATTGTGTGAAGTTCCATTAAATTTATATTTAAGGATATTTTAAAGTTAAAAAAAATGTAATACTTATTTACTATGTTAGAAAGAAGGTTGAAAAGCAATACCCAGGTAGACGGGTGGACATTTTGTACCTCTAAGTAAAGAAAATAGAAAACAAAAAACTAGAATTAATGTTTCTAATGATATGTGAACCTCCAGACAGAATTCATGGTTACACAAGGATAGTTAAGTGCATTGAATAAACTCCGATATTTCAGTATACACGCATTTCGTTAGCAGTATTTAAGTCTCTGCCTCTCATACCTCTATAATAAAGTAAATTTAGCCATGAAACAATAGTTTGATAGTCTCACTGTATTCAATATATTCTGCTCTGTTTGCCAATGACATAGTGACTCAACAGCCATTAGGATTAGATAAGGTTTAGATATGATAAAATAGTTTTAGTGCTTGGCACGCTACCAGATATGTTTAGGTGTTTTCTTTTTTACTATCCTGCCTTGAAGTAATTAATTAAATTTTCGTGGCTTCTTATAGAACCCCTGGAATTGGATATGACCCTGTTAAAAATGAGGGTAACCCCAGTAATTATTTTAGCTATGGTGTGGCCTGCTCTGAAGTGGAGATTGACTGTTTAACTGGAGATCATAAGGTAAAAATTCTGCATCATAAGGTAATATTTTGTTTTCCATAATTTTGGGATGCTGTGGATAGCTGATACGTTAACCTCTAGGTGTTGTAGAGCTATAGTTCCAAGAATGCTTATACAACATCAATTATAGAAATGTAATCTTAAAATGGTTTGAGTTTGGACACCAATGGTCTAGAGAAGGTTTTTCCCACTCAGTCCTCAAGACACATCACTGGTCTGCCTTACACACTGGATTGAGCACCACTGGTCTCAGTTCGTGGGGGTGGTAGATCCATAATGTGACCTCAATAATGCATTGCAGTCCAGAGGTTGAAAATAGATCATGTCATCTGTACAACTTCAACAACTGGGGATCTTCTGTTTCACCATGCTTGGTTTTGAGTTAGTTTCTACATGTTTTTTTTTTATCTTTCTCCTCTTTAATTTTGATTTCCTCTGGCCATAATTAAGAAACTACATGCTAATATAAATCACAATTGATTAGATGTTTTGTAAGGAATATTTAGGAATCGTTTAATTGATAATATATATCTCTTGTTTAAGTTTGTTATCTTGTGGAAAATAATTACTAGACAATAAAATACATCAAATAATCCTCATGTTTTTCAGAACCTGCGTACACACATAGTTATGGACGTAGGCACCAGCCTTAACCCTGCTATAGATATAGGACAGGTGAGTCAGCTTGTTATGGATAGAGCAGTAAAAACCAAACTGAGATTTTAATAGTTCATACAAAATGGATTTATTTTATAGAGTGCACTCAATTGACTACTCTAGATGGAGGAGAGAATGTATCAGTTCAAAGGGAAAATTGTGACATTTTGAGAGAGATTTATAAATGTGAGATAAGTAAATAAATAAAAGTGAAGCAATGTTCTGATATTGGAGTGTTCGTGCTCATTCTTTTGGTTTCCACGGTAATTGCACAATTGCTAGATTCTTGCACCACTTTTCTATTAATGATCCTTCTATAAATCTTCCTCACTGTATTGAAGAGTTTAAAGTAGATTGTCTACCATATGAGATTGGTCAATATTTCTCAAAAATGTTTTTAAAATATATAAAACCCTTGCTAGTCCATTTTTCGAGCCAGCAAACTGCTCTTTCAAAAAGAAAACAGGGTGATTATAAGGTTATATATAGGTGATAAAATGAGTCAGGAAGAAAGCTCATTTGAACAGCAATTTTTTTCTGGGCTTTATAAAAAAAAAAATCAAACTTAGACCTTGATGAGTTCACTTTAAAACAATATTAGGGGTGAAAGAGGTTGCAATATAAGTAAAGGGGTAGAAAAATCTAAAGTTTGGAGGAACCCATGTTTTCTTTAGTGTATCACGAAGATAATGCATGAAAAATATTCAAAAAGGAAATTTATATTTCAAGTTCCTGCATTGGTTCCTCTGCAGTTTGGGAGTAAGCTCTGCTAAGACCAGGAAATAAATCGACAAATCAGGATGCTCTTATTTCAGTGCAAGGTGAACAAATCCCTTTTGTGAGGCACGTAGCTCAGTACTCGGTAGAAATCCCATTCTTGAGAAAAGACTATCGAATCGCTGCCTAGGCTGATATCAGTAGAACTGTATTTGCTAACAGTGTAATGACAGCTCCACATACAGTTTTATTAAAGGAACTAACAGATACAATTCAATTAACATAATTATTACCCCACTTGTGCTACTGTGGATGCATGTTGTTCTTATTCTGAATGATCTTCTTCCGTAGATCGAAGGTGCCTTTGTCCAGGGTCTGGGCCTTTTCACTTTAGAAGAAATGAAGTACTCCTCGGATGGGTTTCTGTACACGCGAGGCCCTGGCATGTATAAAATTCCATCCTTCGGTGACATTCCCACTGAATTCAATGTATCTCTGTTACGCGACTGCCCAAACAGCAAAGCAATTTATTCCTCCAAGGTAGGACGACCACATGGATTAAATGAATTGTATAACATTACTTTTTACAAAACTGGCGAAACTAATAAACAGGAGATGTGTTTTACCAGAGATTTGTACATTGGTTTGATATTATCAGTGTCTAAGAAGTTAGGTTAAAGTAAAATAGATTGAGGATGTTCAAGACTGGGTGATTTTAATAATTTTATATCTCAATGTAAAATCTCGTTACTGGGAGTATTATTGCTGTGGAGCTCTGTTATACACAGACAGTTTACTGGGAGTATTATTGCTCTGGAGCTCTGTTATACACAGACACATTACTGGGAGTATTATTGCTCTGGAGCTCTGTTATACACAGACACATTACTGGGAGTATTATTGCTGTGGAGCTCTGTTATACACTCAGACACATTACTGGGAGTATTATTGCTGTGGAGCTCTGTTATACACTCAGACACACCAACAATATGGAGCTCATATAAAAAAGAGAAATTGGGATAAAAAAGAGAGACAGACGGATTTGGAACACTCGGTAGGTACTGTATAGAATGTTACATTTTGTTACTGAAAGGATTTTAATACTTAAAATGAAGTGGTCTGGGTGCCAGGTCCATCTAGGGTTAACCCTGCCTGCTGTAAACATAGCAGTTTCAAAGAAACTGCTATGTTTACATATGAGTTAATCCAGTCTCTAGTGGCTGTCTCATTGAGAATGCTTTCCTATGGACTGACTGAATGTGCGCGCGGATTGATTGAATAACTGAATGACGACATCCGAAGGAGGAGGAGAGTCCCCAGTGCCGAAGGAGCCCGGCGCTGGAGAAAGGTAAGTGATTTAACCCCTTCCTCCAACTTCAGCCTGGCGCGAGGGGGGCCATGAGGGTGGGGTGCCAGGAAAACGAGTTTGTTTTCCTGGTACTATAGTGGTCCTTTAACAGCTGGGTGGATATTTTATTATATTTATTAAACAGCTATTGAAAAAGAAAAAAGCTTGGTACAGTATTAATAATTACCTTCATTTTGTTAAGGCTGTTGGAGAACCTCCACTTTTCTTGTCGGCCTCAGTATTTTTCGCGATAAAGGACGCCATTACATCAGCAAGGCTGGAGGCAGGTATTACTGGGCCGTTTCGACTGGACAGCCCGGCCACGCCGGAGAGAATCCGCAATGCCTGTATCGATAACTTCACTAAGCTGGTAAAAGCCTCTGTATTATTGCTTTATGTTCCATGACAATGAGAAACACGTTGTTTTGAGATGGGCCATTCGTTGCTTTAGCACTCCTACTGTTAAAAGTTGCTTGAAATGTACTATCCTTTCTATTTCACGTGACTAAGTTACACATTGCAGGCCATAATTGTGCTGCCTCAGACAGACATTCTGAAGGGCTGGACACTGGGTAATGATTAGGTCACAAGTAGCTGACAGTATTGCTGTTTTAAATTGAATTTGTCAGAAATCCATTTTGTACATATTGTTATAGAGCAGTGCAACATGTCCACGATTTATTTCCTTTAAAGGAATACCATAGCGTTAGGAATACAAATTTGTATTCCTAACGCTATAGAGCCCAAGTTACCTAAACTGCTCACCTTAATCAAGCGCCGGGCTCCCTCGGCGCTGGTGACCACTCCTCCCCCATTGACGTCCGCTCCCGAGTGGAGCTAAATGCGCGGCCAGAGGTGCATGCGCATTCAAACTCGCCCATAGGAAAGCATTACTCAATGCTTTTCTATGGGGATCTTTTTTGACGCTGGAGGTCTGTGAGGAAGTCCAGCTTCAAATATGTGCGATTAACTTAGTTCTCTGAAACTGCTATGTTTTTAGCTGCAGGGTTAAAACTAGGGAGACCTGGCACCCAGACCACTTCATTGAGCTAAAGTGGTCTGGGTGCCTATAGTGGTCCTTTAAGAGACTTCATGTAGGTGAATTATGGAAATGTGTGACCCATCTTATAGTCATATTTCTGCTGCTCTGTCACAAGTGCCAATGAGCTCCTGCTCGGAGCTACCATAAACCTTTGCAGTTACTCACAAGTTGTGATGTGGTTTGTTATTATAAAATAATGTATTTTCGAATGTCCTCAGACAGTGACAGTGTCGCTTTAAAAGCACATTACTGGGAGTATTATTGCTGTGGAGCTCTGTTACACTCAGACACACCAACAATACAGAGCTCCTAGAAAAGAGGGACATTAGGTTAGAAAAGGGGACAGGGGGATTTGGGACTTTCCCTTCTAAACAGAAACACCAGAGGAGATATGAAGTAATTCAAATGATTATGGGAAGTATCTGGTACAGAATTTGGGTAGATCACTGTTCTGCAAATGTGTGTTCAGGATCCACTCACCACTCTACCAAAGAACAAGGAACCCTATATAAATGGCAATGTCTGACTAGCCTGTGTTCTTTCCACGATATTCCTGTGTTCTGCCCTCATTACTGACCAGTATCCGGAACAGGTATTAATATAATCCCAGCAACACTCTATAAAAGTAAATCTTTATTCAATTTCATAATAGAACAAAGTCGTCACTAATTATAGTGACATCAGTAAAGAAAAATGTGTAATTATTAATAATTCATAGAATAGATATAAACATCATATTCTTAAAGGAGCTGGTCATAGAACGATATTGTCTGAGCTATGTAAACGGACGTCAGGAAATCCCAACGTTTCAGAGTAGAAGCCTTTAAAAAAGGATTAACATGTTCATAGCAATAAATATAGTATATGGAGGAGGAACAGACGTACTTTATCTATGTTATTCGTGTTACCCATGGGTATTATTCATTTAAAGGTCCTCTGTTCTGTTCTCTTGCAGTGTCCAGTTCTGGAACCAGGATCATTTAAGCCATGGGCTGTTCAAGTGTGACAGAGAAATGTAACATACGCCATCCTTCCAAGCCAAGGCCTTTTAATGACTACCAATATATATTCCTATTGTTGTGGTCACCTATAATTTAGAACTCCAGAAATCCTGGTTTTCATGTTAGATGGAGTACAGAGGAAAATCTACATTTTACAACAAACACATTTTCATTGAAGAACTGCTAAGGCTACTTTGAATATTGTACAATCTATAAAGGCCTTCAAACTGGCAACACATGGGCCAGATAGTGCACAAAATATGTTTTTTTAAACTCTTTCTGCTTACAAAATTAATGTTCTGTCCTAGCGTTCACTAGGGTTTTAACCACATGGATTTTGAATGGTGTACAGCTCATCCAATTAAACCGTGAACAGCACTTAATACTTCCTTTCACTTCTAACCTAGATGATCGTATACTCACTTTGTTTTTTTGTTTTTTTAATAACCTGTAAATGCGGAACAAGAGCTCATTCCTTGCACCATAATCACTACAGTGCAATGTAGCATTCACAATGTTTGGAATGTTCTTTAAAAGACAAGCATAGAAACCAGCCATGTATCTATAGGGGTTTATTGCCTGACATCTCCCATCCAGGGAGTGTTTATTCTGACTGCCAACATTAAAAAGGAAAATACAGGAAAATATACTATACCAAGAGTTAGGATGTGTCCTTACATGGGCACTGCCCTGCAAATAGTTGTAAAATGATTGGTATTTGATAAACACACTTTGACATCTGGTAATTGGAAGAATCTGTTTAATGTGATTTTTAATATAGTTGAATGTTTACATGTGATGCTCATTCCTAATGTATTAAAATGTCTACTGAAACCAGACATCCAAAAATAAAATACATTTATTTCTGAACTGCAACATGTGGGGCTGTCTCTAATTGTCTGTATAAATCATTTTAATAAGTGTATGTGTTTCATAGTCTATCAGTAACAGAACACTCATGTGCCGTTGGAGAGATCACCGATGAGGCATAAGTACATTGGGCTGAATCATGATCCAGGTACTGCCTGGACCGGGGGACCATCTTTGGAGATGTTAGAATCACAATATGGAATGAATAACTTAGTAGGACCCAGCTCTCGAGCAGCCAGACACGTATAGCGAGTACATCACTCCATTATCTTTTAAAAAAGTATAACCAGTAATACAATCAGTCTCCCAATCTGAGAAAAAAATCAAAACAAAGAGGAAACTATGTATTGAAGTAATGCAAAATTATTCACCCCCCAAATTATAACCTGTTTTAATAATTTTTTTGTTTTTACACATCATCACAACAACCACCCATATTCAAATAAGGAACCGATTAAATAGACACACATTAAGTGCACTGTGTAGGTTAGGTTACAGTTAGTTATACTGGGTGGGTTTATATTATTAAAGGGACACTCCAGGCTCCCACACACGTTAGGTGCACTGTGTAGGCTAGGTTACAGTTAGTTATACTGGGTGGGTTTATATTATTAAAGGAACACTCCATGCTCCCACACACGTTAGGTGCACTGTGTAGGCTAGGTTACAGTTAGTTATACTGGGTGGGTTTATATTATTAAAGGGACACTCCAGGCTCCCACACACGTTAGATGCACTGTGTAGGTTAGATTACAGTTAGTTATACCGGGTGGGTTTATATTATTAAAGGGACACTCCAGGCTCCCACACACGTTAGATGCTCTGTGTAGGTTAGGTTACAGTTAGTTATACTG